AAGAAGAAGAAGAAGAAGAAGAAGAGCACTAAAATTCCACACTTGTTTTGAAATATGTTGAGGAAAACTGTTAGTTCAGAACGTGAACCTCCTAGCATAAGCATTAGCAGTTAAAACTTGAATATCTCTCGCACCAAAAATGCTAACAAGAAATGAAAAACGCCGGTTTCCTTCTTTTCGTAAATTAGATAATGGAGACATTAAAATTTGATCGTCGTGGCACTGTTATTGAGTTCTTGAGTTATTAATTTGAAATTGCTAGCTGAAATATGACTTATCAAACTTACTATTTTTCAAAGCAAACCGAGTTAAAATTCCCAGGGTAGGGTAAGGTAACCATCTGTGAGTAAAAGACTTGTTTTTGCTACCCAAAGTATTTTGAAATATCGTTAGTGCATTAAGCATTCATAAACTTTGTGTAAACTCATTTACTCATTTCTTTGAAAAAGGACGATGGGAATGCGGGAAACTTCTATTGTAACCGGCCTCTTCTCGCACTAAGCAACTCAACGCTTTCTAAACTCAGTGTTAGCAGAGTTAAGCTTAGAGGTTCTCTCTAATARGATCAATAACAATATGGCATGATTATATAACAAGTTTATTACATCATTGAAAAACACTAGCTTTAGAATAGTCTAGTAAGCAAAATTTTAACTATTCGGAGAAATTCTTTTTGTATTGACGGCCTTGAAGTACATACAATAGAATTTCATGTCGACTTATTTACAGGTGTATTGTATATATACAAGTCATTCAATAATGCATTTCTTCTACTTATTTTATTTCAATGTCAACATTGTAAAATTGGTCTGTTTTAGAGTTATGTACCAAGAACGGACGCGTTAATGCATAATATCTAAGACTCGAAGACTCGCGTTTCAGTAAATATTTTCCGATATTTACTTTGCCTTCGGCGAATAATGGACCTATCCCGAATTCACTTGACTGACCATGAAACAATGGTTTCAAGTTGAGACTGGGCTTGATTATTTTGTTCATCAAGTTCAACCTCGACTTGAAACCATTGTTTCGTGGTCAGTCAAGCGAATTCGGGATAGGTCTATAGACCAGTTTCGAATTCCAAATTACCGCTGTGTTCCTTGATTACAGACTCATTTGCACAGGGTTAGCCTCGCATCAGTGTTTAAATATTCACAAATACCAACGGTAAAGTAAAGAATGCACAATTTCAACAATACAAACACTTTGAAACTCGACGGACCTTGACTGGAACACGAGAATATTCTGCACAAACTCGAGGCTAACCCTGTGCAAATGAGTCTGTAATCAAGGAACACAGCGGTAATTTGGAATTCGAAAGGGGTCTATTGTTAAATAGTCATCAAAACATTCGAATGTGACGTCATCACGTATGATGAGCGCGCGCGCGAAACCATTGCGAATGAGGTCAAGAAAGAAGTGTTAAGTTAAAAGCACGAGCAGTAGCTGTAGTTTTCAATGCTGTTTTGTAATATTTCCTTGCAGCGTTGGCTTGACGCGAACGGTTACATTTCAAGATGACAATAATACTCACATCAAGTTCGGCGAAATTTTTCAGTAAAGTCGTTCATGGTAGTGATCGAACGATACATGATGCAAGCAAAACTCAAAGTAATGCCCATGTAATTCAAAACATCCCAAATACAGAGATGGAGGACTTTTACTAGTGAGCATAGTATCCAAGAGTATCCAAGCCACTATACTGTGTAAGGTAAGCTTGTGGCCTCGTATTTTACTCACAAAAGTTGAATGGTTTACTCTCACTCAAAACGTTTTTAAACGTTAAAACTTTTGTTTAAATTCAGTCAAAAAGTTTTTTAATTGAACACGCTTTGTTTCCTTAAATCCTTGTTTGACTACTCATTTTCCTTTTGCCGGGACACAACTCATATATCTGCATCAAGACTTTCGCGATACTGCGCTAAGCGCATGCTAGCTCAAGGGATCAAAAAGGGGGACCATGAGTTGTAAAACTGAATTGCTGTATTTTAATCGTATAGTTCCTTATCAAGCACAATTTTAATTAAATATTCAAGAGCAAGTAGCGTTAAGCTAATTCCAAATAGTAAAATATACTAAAATATAGCAACTTTTACAATCCATGATCCCACTTTTTGACCTATTGAGAGTGCGCTTAGAGCAGTGTAGCGCAGAACTTTTGATGGATGTATAAGCCTTTCCACTCTGACATAATTGCCGGTGACGCCATTGTCCAAACTTCTAGCAAAAGACAAGCATGAAATATTTGGATTCAAAATTACAGTGCACCAGTACTAACTTACGTGGGGCTTTTTTGTTTAAAAGCTTTTGGATTTATTATTATCTATTTTTCAGTGCTGCAAATTTTTATGTTAAACTGCATGGCTGCTTTGTGACTATATTCTCAAAATTCTTCAAATTCGATCGAACAAAAAGCAAAAGCAAAATTTAAGATGTCTCTAAATACGAAATTCTCTTTGTTTTCTTGCTCGAAATGCAGCTTATGCTGAAACGGCGAGGAAAAACCTGGTAAACGATTAGGAAAATTAGGAAATTTAGGTACAAAATTGTACGAACAAGTGAAAACTGCGTGATCATAACTGAGATGAGTTTAAATTTCCTTGAGCCAAAAGGGCTTTGAATAGGATATATGCTAAGCATGAATAGAAACTAAACACAGATCAGTTAGGCTAAAAAGAAAACCTTTTCAAATATTCCAGAATACGAAATACAGATAGCAGAAGCGCCAACATTCTCGTTAGGTGGCTGTGTATAGTGATTTCTCCAGAAAAAAGTTCGATACCAACAAGCAGTGTTCACGGCAGCTTCCTCAAGGGTGTTATGTCAATATTTCTAAATATTTGTGTGTTTTCATTTTTGACCTTTAAAAAGCTTGTTTGAACAGATAACCCTGCCTAACGAAAACTGCTTGTTATACTGTTGTTATCTTCTACCTCTGTGATGACGACTATGCTGCGTTGATTCTTTCTTCTCGTTTTTTTTAGACACAATTTCAGGAGACCAAGGGCTTTGATTCTGAGCTTTTGACAAATTTTCCGTGCTTCTATCTTTTTCATTTTGAAGTTCCTCCTCTACTAGTTCTTCGACGAATGATTCGTTGACGTTTCCAAGTTCTGTATCCATAGTTACCGTTAACGTTGGTTTCACGAATCGAACCGAATGTTTAATGGAGCGTTTTACGGGAGTGCCAGGGCGAGCAAGGCCATTTGATTTATCTTTCTTTTCTCTTTCTTCCACAGCAGCCATTGCTCTGTCTATATCGTCCAACCCAAACTCCTCACACTCGTTATGTATAATTCTATTTTCTTCATAAGCAGGGCATGACATATCTAAAATATTTTCTGAAATATCTGAATGGGAAACAGTTAAGGTATTACCATAGTGTGAAGGGCTTTTAGGTGGAGTGTCTATTGTGGTGGTTTGCGTGCTGGTAAAGCTTTTCTTCCTGTCCTCAGGAGGTGATTCTTTATCTTCTGTCAAATCTTCGCTACTTCTTGTTCGCACTGGCAAGGACATTCTAGGCACTATACCTCCTGCGTACAATGATGAACGCGCTCTTCGGGCCCTGGGAAACAAACATATTGGAGTTTAATATCTAAAGCCGGGTATTTTAAACGTCAAACACCGTTAGTAAGTGACATCACCTCACCTCACCTCACCTCACCTCACCTCACCTCACCTCACCTCACCTCACCTCACCTCACCTCACCTCACCTCACCTCACATCACATCAGGTCATGCCCCACCGGACATGTGATGTCATTTTATATGTTGTCACCACCACATGCGATCAGTGTCATGTCATAATCAGGTTACATCACGTGACGTCGTTGCACATGTCCCTTCATGTTAAGTCATGTCATGCCCTGTGCTGTCAAGTCATCTCATAATATTAAATGTCTTCATTTTTTCCTTTACCTTCTATTGTTGCTAATAATTTTCGATTCATCGCTGTTTAAACCGTTCATTTCCGAATGAAGCTTAGTCTCTGTATCTGGTACCTCTGCCTCATTATCGATGCTGACATCATCACTCCTGCGAGCCGATTGGGCCATTAGAAAGTTATTCATACCAATCATCGCTCGCTTTTCCTTTTTCGGCAGCTTCATCTTAGCTTGCGCATGTGAATAATAAAGTGAAAAGTTGTTGCCGATGATAGAGATGGGCAACGCTGTAATGATAATGGATGTTGCAGCACACAAGCTTCCAAAGATTCTCCCGCCAAGGGTAATTGGTGCCAAATCGCCATATCCTACAGTAGTTATGGAAATGATAGCCCACCAGAATCCTTTTGGAATCGAGTTAAATTTGTCGGGTTGTTTATCCCTTTCACATATGTAAGCAACACTGGCAAATATGACGACTGGAATGAGTACCAGAAGTGTTAGCAGCAGTAGCTCACGACTGCTTGCTATCATTGTTTGTTTGAAAATTTGAAAACCAAGATTCAGCCTGAAAAAACGAAACAATCTAAATAGCCTGCAGGCAGCAAGAATGTCGTACTGGAGAGAAGGGTCGTCGTATGGGTATGTATCATAATTATCGATGATCCTCACAAATACTGGAAGGATTGCAACAAAGTCCACCCAATTCATAGGGTCTGTAAGGAAATGTCGTTTACTTGGGCAAGCTGCTAGGCGAATCAAAAATTCCAATGTGAACCAAATTCCACAGATAGCTTCCAGAATGGTTAGAGATAGCTTTGCATTTCTGTCGTTTTTGATCTCAGGGAGTGTTTGCAATACGTAGACTATCACAGAAATGATGATAAAGCTAAGTGACAGGCCAAACAGGACCTACAAAAAACATTATATGTTAATTACGCTGAACAAAAGACTGTTGCAAATGGTCTATCACCAATCCTGCGCTCTGATTGGCTGAGCTACTATGAGTGGTTTACCGGTGATACACCACTAGTATAGCTGATGGTCAAATTGTAATAGCTGATGGTCAAATTTTCCTCTTTTACTCCAACGAGGGACTAGCGTCCGGAACGTCAGTAAGTTTTTTCATCTTTTTACGGCGTAAAATTTACCCTTTTATTATTACTGTTTCATTAGAAACACCAGCTCACACTARTTTTTAGCTAGTTATCTCTTTGGTCTAATTGTTAGTGCAGAAACAGCCGCGACTTAATTCTATTTAACTTTCAATTATTTCGCATTGGCAATAAAACCTGAATTATCGCGTAGCCACAGTTCTCTTCACAAACCTAAACGCGTTGTTATAAAGAACCTTCATAGAAATGTTCCAAATACTAAAAATGTTATTTCCTATATTAAAAGTAAAAAATAAAATTCAATAAAAGAGAGGATAGCACTTCTTAACACTTCAAAATTTGAAGGCCCATTTGAAGCGTTGATAGCTTTGGATTTAGTCTGTCAATTCGTAATTGAAAAGTATGAACTTTGTTCAACGCATAGTATATATCTTTAAATGAACAATACTTTTAACAACATTATTTCTTTAATTTATCATTTCCTTGGGTTGCTCTGCGCTCTATAGTTATATCCTCTCTTCTTTCGATTCCTCCATCTTGACCACATGCTAAAAATATGAAATTATTATTACTCTCTTTGGGAGAAATATATGCTGCTTTATTATTTAGAAGAGACAAATTTAAAATGAATTCTGGTCAAATATTACTTGTTTGATTCACCAGCTTCGCAGCGGTAATCGTAAACACTGGCGGCAGTACGATAGCACGATACTTCAGCTGCTGTTGACAGCATCAGTGAATATAACAAAATAAGAAAGAACGAACATGAAGAATCAAAATATTTTTAAAATTTCTTAAACAAGTCGAAAATGATCATGTTGCACTTGCGGTACAACCTGTCTGAGCCATATTTTGATCAAAGAAATGACTAGTTCTTTCTGTTGGTAGGAAGTTTCCATAGCGACACCAAAATCAACACATGCTTCACTGTGTTCACAATGTTTACTTTCTTTGTCCGAATTCAAATTTAACTAATGTAAATGAAGCATATTTCATTCGAGAAATCTTAGATAAACCTTATGATATGTATACGTCCGTCTTTTTTAACATTAACCTGAACCTTTTGAAACTAGTGTATAGCCACTTGAGTATTGGATTCTGGATTGACATCACAGTAACAAAACTGACATGTTACTTTTTGAAATGAGCTGAATCATTCTTAGGAAATACACGTATAAATGCCTTTTTCTCTGTGCATTCTTATCCGTTGGCAGTTTAAAATCAGCTTTGGTAATGACTAGTAATAGTAGAACGGGGGGGAAACGATATATTTAGATAATTACAATTAAAGACATGTTGCAATCGATTGAACATGATTCAGAGATATTATCAGTATCATTTGTACGAAAAATGAAACCATCCCTGAATGCCAAAAAAAGAAAGACCCCAAACATTTTACGACCTGAAAATTCTTTTTCTTGGCATTCAATTTGCATCCAGAATATCAGTCTTAAAAAAGCACTAGTCCTCCGTTCACATGCTATCCCTTTTAATTAATTCCATAGTTCATTCAATCGTTTCTTCATTCGTTCGGTTATTTGTTTCTCCCATTCGTTCGTTTGTTCGTTTGCACGTCTGTTTGGTTGGTTGGATGGTTGATGTCTTCATAAAAATATTTACGGGGCAAAGCGCTAACGCTTATTTCGAATATCATTAGATGCTCGTTTATTCTCCATCCCAAAATTCCTCTTATACACCTTGACCGAAGTTATATGCCAAGAAAATTTTCATTGTCAACAAGACTAAGATTATGTGCTAACAAATGAAATATTCAAATAAATAACAGGTTTGGATCGGAGTTCGTTCAAAGCGCGGCTAGCTAGTAATACTTTCAGAAACAGATAAAAAAGAGATAATTTAATTCAAAATTAAAAGTGACCAACTGTTCCCACTTAACAACTCGAACTTAGTTTGTTTTTCTCGCTTATCAACTTTTCAAGCCTATATTTATCGTCAACAAGAAATTCGAAAACTTTCCCAAGTTTGTTTGTTTTAAAATCAAGCTTGTTCTCCCATTTTTTCGTAGTTTTTATTTTTCTTTATTTTTTAAAACTTATCCTTATAATTAGCCTTGAAAAACTAAGCTTTTGTTTTGAATCTAAATTGGAATTTGAAACTGTTTTGCTCTGCCTTTCTTCATAATTTTTCACTCAGCCTCTATATCTTTAAATATGAATCTACGTTAGTTACGCTCACTAGATGTGCCTGTGGAAGCCTATTAATTGCCAACGTCATTAGAGAGAGAAAGAGAGAGAGAGAGAAAGACATTTCATAAACTTTAAAATTGCCTTCCATATTTTTTATGATGTCTCAGTTTTGAGTTTTTTGAATAAATAAACATTTCAAACAATGAAAGAGTATATCTATCAGTTTTCCTTAGCGGTCATATGATATTAGGCTAGTTCCTAGGCTATAACTCCCGCTTTTCAACTAACTTATTGAAATGTTTAAATCTGTTAAAGTTAGTGTCATAGTGTTGCTTAAATCTTTAGGTCCTTCCTTTTCTTCTCTTTTTCATTTTTTATTTTTTATTTCTATTTATTTTTTTATTATTATTTTTTTTCATGTAAAGTCTGCCGATTAATAACACTTTAACGGACCGTGATGGCAAAAGCCGAACTAAACAAAAAGAGCTAGAAAATTACGGTGAGCTTTCAATTGTGTCATAGATGAATTATATACACATCCCTCTTCGATACAGATAAGTATTAAGCTAAAGCTCTTACCATGGCCATCCTAGAAGCACGATGATTTTCAAACATGGACCAAATTTTTGGTTTGTACTTTTGCCACTTGGAAAGTTGATCAATATCATGAATCCTTCCTCTCGAGTCATAATCTTCGTCACTTTCACTATCCGACATATCAACTCCTTCAAACGCCTTCAAACTTTCCTGCGCTTCTCTGTGCTGGGTGTAGAAAGACCAACAACATGGTTCCATCTGTTTCTCGTCGATTCCCCAGTAAGATAACTCTTTTTCGAATAGCGGCCCACAGACATCGTGAGGGGCATGCAATTTCCCTGTTCTGTAGAAATTCATTATTTGAGCAAAAACGCCAGGGTGACGGTCGAAAAAGAATTCGTTTTTATCTGGATCAAAATCTGGATTGTTTGCCAGGTTTTCTACCGACCAAGCCAGTCTAGTATCAGGATAATTCCGTAAAGTGCTTCGAAAAGTTTCATGGCGTACGCCACCACAGTTCAAGATGATACGGTCCTGTCTTCTGATGTTAACTAATCCTTCCTCCGTGTCCGGCGTCATTTCTTGTTTAAAACTTACGGTGATTATATTTCTTCAGCCTCTTGCATGAAGATATTATTATAGCTTTGGTCTGGCTTATTTATTGCCATTTGACTTTCCTGTTAAGGCTATTTTCTCATCATGTCGCTCCTGTCTCGACTGACTTACAGTATCTGTATGTGAGTAGGAAAACAAAATAGTTGTCTCTAAATCTAAATATACTCGTTTAAGAATCAGAGAAAAATAACGAAGACAAAATCCTAAAATATCAGAATTATTCGAAGGTCTATTCTAGCGATAGCAGTCAAGCACAGTAAAGTTTGCCGTACTCAGCCGTCAGTTGTGTTGAATGTGTTTTTTTGTGGTTGCTCGGGGCATCTGGATACATAGAGGGATGGACTTGCCATTTGAATTGAATATTATGCATGCAGCTCTCGCTCTCATTCCACCTGCCAGTCTATCCATATTCATGAACAAGAAAACTGACTAATAATTTGACTCAAAACCGTACGACGGTTTTCTTATATGAAACTGCAAATTTTGGCTTTAAAGAAGCTGTCAATACGTTCTCCAATCGGAAGCTCAAAAAAGTTATTTTCCCGTCATTAATTGAAAGCGCTGCATGTTGATTGGACGTCCATTGACACATTTAAATTTGCCAATAGATTATTCTCATGGAAATACCCTATGTAAATTTGCATTTGGAAACGTTTACAATTCTATCAACCTGAATCCACCCTCAAAGCGGGGGAAAACAACGTGAAAACCTTCTTAATCAGTTTTCTCTGAAAGACAAAGCCTACGGAAAAGGAATATCATTACAAATATGTTTTGTTCATGTAGTATCGAATTCTAGAAAAAACAATTTCAACATTATATTTTGGGGTTGCATTAATTATTCAGCTTGCTCCTCAACTTCATGATCTCGATTCGATTATGAATTCATGACGGAACTGTAGGTGTGGGTAAAAAAAACTTTTTCGTTTGTACTTCAGAGTTTTAGAAGGGTCAAAATCAATAGTAGCCCTCCATAGTTTTGGAAGAGTGATAATGTTGGTAGGCCATGGGGAGCTGTTTGATTTGTGAGTAAACTAATTCTATCTATACATGAACCGTTAAAACAACAACATTTATAGAATATACATGGTTATATGATAAATAAAGATTTCTTTCCTCTGAAAAAAGAAATGCTAATATTTACCAAATGATCGAAACAATGCTACACAAATTTATCAACGTGAATTGACAAAATGCTTTCATTTTGTTACCAAGGTAACCTGGCGCTTGCTGTTGTTTTGTCATGACTACCACAGCAGCTTGCATATGTATTGAGTGTTATTTTATAAAGGTGATCTAGATGATGATATATAAGTCACATTTCCCGTTTCTTGAAATATTTTTCATAATTCCACTGTGTACGACATTCAAACCTTAGTCGTTGGTTCTATTTCAGTCAATGAGCTAATTAAAAAATCGTGAGCAGATTTTCATGTAATGTTCTCTTATTAAACATAGATGATGCCTTAAACTGATAAATGTTAAAATCTCAAGTGGAACCACTATAATTTTTTAGCTTTAATTTCATAAACATTATACTGAAGACGCCATCTATGATCAATAAGAGAACATTCAATGGAAATATATAAGCGATTTGTGTATCTTTTATCATAAAAAATTAAATAACAAGTCTACGGTTTCCAGCGCGCGCTGCTCCGTACGATTAGTATAGGAAATCGCACGACCTCGAGTACAATTTGGAATTCATAGAAACGAGGAGTGATATCAAAGTTTTCAAAATTGGACGAGCCTTTAGCCGAGTTCAATTTGAGAACTTTCAAAACATCACGARTACATTATAAATTCCGAATTGTTCGAGAAGATTGTGCGATTTTTTGTTGTTTATAATACACTCAAAAAATTGAGCGACTTAATTGGGAATTTGGGATTCAATTGTACTCCTCTTGTTCAATCAGAATCGAGTAATTTTGTWGAGTGTATTATACAAGTCATTCTATGTGTCGGTCCTTTTTTTGTTTTTAGCTGTCAGCCAATCAGATTGCTAGAATATTCTCTGATGAAAATAGACTGTATTTGTATCGAGTTAATACGCTATATTTCCTGTATCTCCCAAACATCTCATTTGCTTTGATTATTATATAAGGCCAGGGTATAAATGGTTTTGTGTAATGAATGAGTTTGATACATCTGTCCCTTCATAGACGTCTAACCGTTTACCAGTTGCACGAATTCATTTAAAGTAAATCTAGRATATTGGACTGCAGTAGAAATCCTTTTTAGTAGAACATTGTTTATTTTGTCATTCGCAATAGAACCTAGCTTTTCGAGTTCCAAATTACCGCTGTTTTTCTTGATTACAGCCTCATTTACTCAGGCTTAGCCTCCATTTTGTGAAGAATATTCACGTGTTCCAGTCAAGGTCCGTCAAATTTCAAAGTGATTCTATTGCTGAAGTTGTGCATTCTTTACTTTACCGTTGGTAGTTGCGAGTAATTAGAGAGTGATTCGAGCCTGAGTAAATGAGTCTGTAATCAAGAAACACAGCGGTAATTTGGAACTCGAAACTGGACTATTCCCCCTTGAAAAACTAAAAATTACCCAAGAAGAAGTAAAGAACCACCGAGAACAATTTAATATCAAAGTATGTATAGACAGCACAGTTACATTGTTTGAGCTGCCTGTGATTCACTGATTGATTTTGAAAAACAGGAAATACATTCTCGCACACAGACCCTACTTTATTTCACTGAAAATCGTTGCCTACCTATATAAACTTGTTAAAAAACATCTGAGACAAAATAGCTTTTTAAAGTGAAAGACDAGGTCTTCATACAATATATCTTTCAACAATACAAATTTCAGATCATTTGTATAATCATACTACTGGCTCGAAATAAACAGTTAAATATTTGGTGCAATTTTATATTTCATTCAATATTTAAATAAATTATCGATAGAAAGATATAAAATTATTGAATGAAAGTCTTCTTTTGTTTGCCGATGGCACCCCTCAAAGTTGTATATTTTTTTTGAAAACAACCGAATTGTTAAAGATTTACAATGCTAAATAAAGGTCGTTGTAATATTTGCTCTCCGGATTATATTTCATCCAGCATTAAAATCAATTAAGCTTATCTATAGAAATATTGAAAGTTTTGAGAAAAATTCATTGATTTGTCGATAAAAATTCTTGTCAAAATCTCTAATATATTATCGTTTGCTAAAAAACACACACTTGACTTCTAGTAGAACACTTCTTGATCTACCTTTGACTATATGTTTTTTTTAAGTTAAAAAAAAAAAATTGTTGTTGGTCTATAATTTGTCCTAAAGATATTTTTCCTTTGCATTTGAGAGCCGCATTTGCGAGTAGTTTTTCTTTGACATCAAGCGGGATCCCTGTGTTGTGTACTAGGACGTACAGACGGAAGTGACGTCAGCCAAGCCATGAAAAATCAACTCGATGGTTTACCATTTTTAGCTCGTGGAGAGCTATCGAGGTGGCTAGATTTCGCATTTTTCGGATAACGCTTCTCAGCCAATCGTTTTGGTAATTCCCGTAACCATGGAATCCATTGTATTCGCCAAGTGACGTCACTGGAAGAATCCACGCACGTTGTTTGCAGAGGAAGCCATTTTGGATTTTCGACCACTTCATAATCAGCAGCATATTTTGAGCATTCTTAGTTTATTTTATGCTCTTTTTGTTGGACCTTGAGATATGAGATTGTCGTATTTGTCATTAAGTTGGAAGAAGAATCCGAAACAGCCTGGTTTTTCATATATTGGATCGATTAGACTCGGTCCAGATAATCTCAATCGTAGAAAAATTTCGTAACCAGATGTCGGATAAGAAAGGATTGTAGCCAATCAGAAGCAAATAATTTAATTGATAAAGACAACAGTTTGTTTGCACAAAACGTAACTCCCACTACATGTATCGCCTTACTCGGGTCACAATACCCTTAATGAAATGAGTCACCAACTGTCATATCATTTTAGTTCATTGGTACTCAAAAAGCTTCACGAGCTTACCAATTTACCATGGGTTATCTTTGATTTCTTAAGTATGGTGCTCCGCTCGCGCGGGCCGAAGGCCCGCGCGGGAACTACGCTACAAACAACTTTTTTAAAGTTTTTTTAAGAAAACGCGAGTTAGCCTTCATTGTTTTGATTTTCAAAACTCGCCGGCACTTTTCGCTGCTATAGTGACCTATAAATAATATATAAAAATCTACGTTGTTTATAGAGGATAATAATTAACAGTAATTCAACTGATAAACTAACTTCTCCACTCTCTGCTCGTGCACGTCTCTAGTTTTAGACCACTAGTATCTCGGCCAATCAGAGCACAGGATCCGTGATCGACCAATGGCCGTTTTAGAATGTGAAAAATGGAGACGATTTATCTCCTCATTCAATAAAATATGGCTTATTTTTGACAACTTTCCATGTTTATCTTGTGCGCGCGTTTTTACCATAAAACGGGTGAACTTCCAGTATTCTGACGGCTAAACGAAGTCCGTAATTATAACCAGCCCCACTTTTTATTTGTTTATCTTACTTCTAGTATGATGTACATACTCTTTCACCATACAAAATTAAAAATAAAATCTAGCGATAGGATCTTATGCCCATGAACGTCCTAAAAGAAAGAAATAGRAGATAAGGAATATTAATGGCGGCCCAAAATCAGGCCCAGTTCCTGTAGATATTATAGATAAGCCTATACGTTCTGAAGTTGAGTCGGAACTTGTGTTATATATGATTTAGTAATTAAACTTAGAAGGATTTATTATTTTATTCATTTCCACTTGATGTTCGAAAAGTCATTTCTTCTAGGCATGCGCAATCTCATAAGATATTACAGGAAAATACATTTTTAGACAGCAATAGTTTTTGTTTATTAAGTTATGCGCATGCGTAGTATCATAACTACTGACATGTGCATCTGCTTTTGTGTGAAAATCACCTACTAAGAGGTATCTACCAGAACAGGCCTGGTTTTAAAAATCGGAAAAAAAAAAACAATATATGCCAAATACTTAAGTTTTTTTCTAAAATGGATATTATTATGGGATACATTCTCCTTTTGATAAATGATGCCGCTTCCGGTATAGCTGATTTGAAAAGTCGTTTTTACTCATATAATGATAAATGTTTGTCTGCTACAAAGTTATTAAAAATTGTTAATGAAAGTGTTTTGGGTTCGAGACTAAAGAAGATGCCCAAGATCAATTGACTGATGTGACAGACTTCAAAATGAAGCGGCATCTCTCTGACCTCCGGTGGTAAAAAATGAAATTAGCCCCTTTTAACTATGATGGGTATTATTAAGCCGCACGCATACAGTTAACGACAATACCCAAATATAATAGAACAAAGCTAATAAAAACCATTCAGAAGCGAATGTGTGGGCAGCAAACACGATTTTTTGCCTTTTTTCCCCCTGTTTGATATCGTGCTCTGCCTAGAAAGAAATACCATGGCGTACAAGGGGCGAAAAGCACGATCAATAAAGACGCACGATCTCACGTGAACTAGAGATATTAGAAAACTATCTGGAAAAGATGCTTTATACTATCCAAAGATCTATTGATTCTTTTTTGCTGTAACTGATGAACAGCGAATGAAATTTAATATTTTATTGGACTATTTGCTCCCTTACCCGCACGCTAAAACCAGTTATAAGTATATTCACTTGCAAAACTAGTTTTTTTTTTGGACTTTTAAATTGCGCGGCGCTTTGATTTCAAACAAGCAATCTTTAGGTGCAAGAAGGAAAACGTGTTTTACTACATGATTTTTTCCGTTAACCCAGCCTACGAGAAAGATAGCAGACGAGGCGTGAGTGCAACTTGGAGCTCAACCAAATCACGGCTCATTCCTCTTCTGTCTCGCATATCACCAAAGCATTTAACGAAAAGGTTGCAGATGTTGAAAGTTCTAGAAACTCTCCAATTTATGGCAGTAATTGATGTACCTTCAAAGAAAGTGGTTTAGATGAGTAGCTACAAAGAAATAAAAAGATTAAATCGCAAAGGAATATTTGACGAGACCTAGTACGAGGGCCGTCTTGTTCCGTCACAGGCCTGCCGGCTAGGATTACGTTTATATTCATTTTACTTCTCATTTTTCTGTTCAGAGGTTATTGCATTCTCGCTCCGGCATTTACTGTGTTGACGGCTCTCGCTCGTTCAATGTTCCGGGAAAAGCGAATAGAACCTCTGGAGCCCAGGGTACAAGGTTCAAAACCTCAAGTCAATTTGCCTTCGTTTCAATGTGTTTAGTTTTCTAATGTTAAATCAAGGAAGACTGGCCCAAATGCTATAGAAACTTTTATTGATTTAATTTAAAGAAAATACAAGTTCAAAACAAAGAGTTATTTGCTTTTCATATTATTATGTAATAAAATCGAGTAGGTTATCTTTAACAGTTCTGAGACCGGTATATTCCATAAATAGGCTCGCTATATCATGCTAGATCGTATATCGATTACCACATTTTTGTTATCTTGATTTACAACTAGTGTACCTCTCTACAGGCCTCCTTTGTCGTTTGGTATATCTGACGAACTCTAGGAGGGACCAAATAACTGGACATACGAGTAACACAAGAGCAAACAAAGCTGGGATTCGTGTCATAGGTGGTTTTATGAACGGGAAGTCCCCATAAGGTTCTTAATTTCTGTTGGGCTTGGTGACTGTTTCGTTTAAGAAGATGGAACTGATCACCTATAAGGTCTTGCATCTGGTTCCTTGCAGACGTTGGAGAGACTGCACCCAAATGCTGAGAAAGAGGAACACCTTTTTCCTCGGTCCTCCAGTAGTCGTGGTCTTTGTTATCGTACGTATCCACTATGTAGCACTTCTAAAATAAATAAGTAAAACGTTAATAAAAAAATTGCGTTTTCACTTAGCTTCTTGCTTTTGCGAGTTTCAAATTCCAAGTTGGAATCTCTAAAATAAAGTAAAACAAAGATAAAAAAGAAAAACTCTGAATTTCTAACTATTTCTAACTAAATGGGGTCCGCAGCCCCATTGGCCGCTATTAAATCCTCCCCTTGCGACCTCTGCCTTGCGACTAGCCTACTGTGCAGCCGCTGTGAGGCCTTTCGGGTTCCCGTCAGTCCCCGGAAGCGCCTCACAGCGCCAGCGCAGGAGAAACTTGCAACAAGCTTTGATTCAAACCTAGGGACAGTTAGTTGATTCCGATTCCGACGCTTTTTCTGATTTTCACTTTGTGTAAGCAGTTTTAGAGGAAATGAAGGCGGAACCCTCAGTATATTTCTAGCTGCGTTGTTATTTAGTTAACCCATCATTACCTCTTAGTATAGAACTAACCTTGAACCAACATGACATGTCGAAGTTAAAAGGACTAGCAGCAGACAAAGTAGCTTTTCCATCTGTTGAATATTCAAGTACACAGGATTTCCCGTCCGCAAGCTGAAGAAGCAGTCCAGAATGGGATAAATAGCACCCACCAGTTGTCGAAAGGTTGACACGACGATGTACCACAGCAACGTTTCTGATTGGTTGGTTTGATGGACATTTCCCTAAAGAATTGAAAAGAGAATGTAAAAGTTTAAGGTTAGATCTTAATGATGACACTTTTTTAGAATATTATGTTCTACAGGGGACATTTTACTAATTAAATCAATTATGCGAATATATATAGGCAACTGATTAAATAGAAAAATGTTGTCGTCGACCAAATCAAGCCTACAGCTGAATATAACGTGCGCACTATCACGCTCGTTTGTCGATCTGGACTGCTTGCAGATATAAATTGAATTTGAACAAAAACTTTTGTCTTCATTATTTATTAAATTCACTTGTCTGAAAAATACTAAAAAATATATTCGCGTCAGGCTCAGTGAATAACAGGTGAATATAGCATTATAAGACGTAAGTTGTGACCAATGAGCACGCTGGATTTATTATATTCACTTGTGTAAAAATACTAAACATATGTGCGCTGAAAATTTTTATTAAAAATGAAAAAGGGGTTGGATTTAGAACTGAATCTAGCTAAGGTAATATTCATTCGAAAGTGTATGTTTTATTACTACTCCAGATTCGGGTGAACAGTAGTTGGCTTACCACAGTTGTTGCGGTTAACCTGCCTTACATTAATTTCTTTTTGTTCATTTTTACATAGTGTTACAATATTAGTTATATGTTTAAATAGCAAAGCTCTTCCCTGCTAGCAGAGCCTATTTTCCTTTTGTTTTGGTGGAGTGAGAAAAAAGACTCTGCCGATGTAGGACGTTATACTTTATGTGTTCTTTCCTATTCTACTACGAGGGTTTTCTCCGGGTTCTCCGGTTTGCGTACTACATGTACCCGGTTAAAAGCCGGCTTTAAAACTGGTTTCATTCGTCCTCCCTCCTCCACGCATAAAAGAAGGGAGAGAAAGAGGAGAGACTCTGCTAGGAGGGAACAAAGCTAGTAAAATAAGTAAAACTGGTTATGAGCTGTTCTCGTAGATTGGCAGTGACTGTATAGTGGCTGTCAGGGACACCTTAAGATTGTGCTTTCAGTTCACGATGCCGTTGAGCTGCGCCAAGTTAACATTAGACATAACTGACTTACCTGCCATGGAATACTGAATCACCAACCCAAAGGTGACGAAAAATAGAAACATCTTCATCGTAATTGAACGAAGGTATAAAGATCAGGACAGAAAACTAGAATAGTACTGGTAACTACTACTGATGTGGGTACTGTTACAGCTGTAGTCAATCAAGTAAAGTGTGTAGAGCTTGTCGGTAGTTGCGACTGCCTGAATAGCCCTTATTTATACTATTCATTATCAAACATATTTATTCGTAATTTCCGCTTAGTAATTTCACAAACAAACACTCTAATAGATCAACGTCCGAAATCGAAAGCAAATTATGACTTTTCATCGATACCATTTCAAGTATTTGAATTTCCTCTTCAAACAGCATATATATAGAGAGCTATTAACAAGCAGTTTTTTCTCAAGAAATTCACTCAAAAAGGACAGACGTAGTTTAAGAACATCCATGATTAAATCAAAAACTTCCGTTTTACATCACACTACAAACATATACACATCAAATTAAAACCAACTAGTCAACTACTGAATCCAAACAAACTAACTTAGACTGACTTCCTAGTTTACATGGGGGCGGTGTTACCAAAGTAGTTGTTATCTTTGCTAATTTGTTTTAATGACGTACTCAGGCAAAGGAGCAGATGCACATCCTTTAATGGTTTATGAAGGAAAGTAAATGTTAAGTAAATATATGTTATCTGCCTTTTCAGCACAACTAGTTGTCGAATGATAAGGCGAAAGCTTCAATCCTTTTCCTGTTTTAAGAGGCTAGAACAAAGTCAAACATCAATTCCGTCGATTCACTCACATCAACTGTCAAGATAATGAGGTTCTGTCTCAAGCATGATACAACAAATGAACTTTTTTCAGTTAAATGAACCAGAAAGCACTTTAACCTTAGCCTTAATATCAATTCCGGCTTTACTTACTCAACTTCAATGACCTTATCATAACTCATCAATTAAGGACAAGCGGGACACCTAAAGGACAAATTGATTTCCTTTATAGGGTCTTACGGATGTTCCCTTTGAAGGTCTTTGTATAGTTTACTGCCTCAGCCCAGTATAGTGACAAGAGTTGCATGAATAAGCATCGAATTACCTTCTGTAACATACACCTATTCCAAAAAAACGTTCGGTCGTCGGTCGGATATCTGAAATCTGAGACCGAGAAGGGGCTGTCGGGTGTCCGTTTTATTTAGCCACTTTAGAAACAAGCAAGAGACTGGGGCGAGTTTTGAATTTTAAAAGCTTTGTCATCTGATAAAGCGTCTCAATATTACGGTAATTAAGTGAAATTTGAATACTTTTCGTATTTTAAAAAGTGTGAAAAAATTACAAAGAATGTATGGCTTAAGGAGATGACCGAGTATCCCTTGTTACCATACACTCTTTGTAAATTTTCGGCACTTTTGAAAGCCAATAATTCTGGTCACATCCAATTATGTTAGATTTGCCAGAGTTACAAATCTTCACATGCTTTTCCTAATAAGATTTTCCTTATAAGATAATAAGATTCAAAACTCGTCCCAGTCTCCTGCTCGTTATTAAAGAGGCCAAGTACACTGTAGTTTTAAACAAGTTAATATCTAAATATGCATCTGCACTGGCGAATAATTTGGCAAAGTATATTTTGAATTTTTAACGAGAAAACACTCAGTCCCCACGATTCCATTTTTGAGCAAAAAATTGCAAAACACTTTTGTTGAAATAAAAATATTACGTATGTGAAGGGGGAGGTGGCCATGCTGTTTTCTTCATTCAGCTAGCAAATGGTATCCCAGTTATAGCTGACTCTGCGCAAGGCTCCTCTGTTCATCGGTAAAGTCGAAACAGACCCGGAGATCCTGAGGGTCGAGGTCTATATAAGCACACTAAAATCACATAGATTTCAAGGAAGTTATTTATTTCATCATTCAAGGAGTAAAAGCCATTGATTAGTAGCCCGCAGTATACTGGTTGCGGATCAATATGCTACTAGCTTTATATATTTAGCAACTATTCCACGAAGTCTCCTGGCCGAGTTGGCTATTTTATTTGTGTTTGTTTTTGCCCGCAGGCTGCTGCTAGACAATAGGACTCCTTCGAGGTACATTGCACCAATTTCCAACCCCGTTAAATCCCCATACCCATCCCACAATCAACCCAAGAAATCATAAGTAAAAGCCAGACACTGAGGGTGGTCACTGCCAGGGTTTCTTTACGCCCTCGGTGGTTCTTTTACGTCCCTCCGTTGCAGGTTGAGACCGCCATTTAACGTGGTCATCCGCGCCACGTGTAGGTCAACCATTTGTAGTTTTTATAGGCAGCTTCTTCTACTCAGTTATTTTAAGACCCCGAGTGTTGGTTCGACCGAAGCTTTAACCTCGACCTCCCGTACGAAAGTCCGATGCTCAACAAACTGAGTCAACCGGGTAAAGATCATGTACGACGAGAGTGAGTTGGGTAATTGTTTTAATGCATAGTCAACCAATGAATTGTGCGGATATAACACTTTTTTATTTAATTCATTAAAAAATATTTCCAAAAACCTGACGATAGTTGCACCGCGATGTTCTAGTTTAGACATCTTAGTTCTGAATTTATCAATAATAATCAACAATCATTTTTTGAAGGCGATGTGATTATCGGTGATTGTTATATAGTTACGAAATTTTCCGATATAACGAACACTCTCACTGGTTGAAAGATGACTACGTGACACTAGCTAAATGTATCCCGACGGGGAAATAAGTAATTTATAAAGTGTCCAAATAAACCGTCTCAAATTCTTTAGTAATTTGAAATGTCAGTGAGCCGGTCTACCTACTTAGTTCATCCGTGCCACTATCTTCAGTAGTGCTTAATACCTTAGTAGATACACTAACATTACCCAGTCTTCTTTTTTCTTGTTTTTCGAGAAGCTCCGTGAGTCTCTTTGTATCATCGGCAATTTTTCTTTCAAGTTCTGAAATTTCCCGCTTAATTTCTTCTTCCGTGGGTGTAGAAGGCCTTTCGCACTTGCCTTTTACTGTACTAGCTAACAAATCAGGTGAATCACATCCTGAAGGAGCAGCTGCAGGTGATCTCGATCTCACAGTTCTTCTTCTTGGTCGCCTTGATACTCGAGAAGGAGATCGCGATTTGCGATATCGATYATCATGTGAGTGTTTTCGACGAAACTTTTTCGACCTAGTGTTGTGGTAATCTTGAAGTGACTTCGATCGTGAGAGTGATGAGCATTCTAGATCACTCGAAGAACGTCGCTTCCATTTCTTAATACTTTTAGGTGTATGGTTTTCTTCTTTTACCTGACTTACACTAGGAGAGCTTGTCTCCTCACTCGAGACTACAATGTCAGAATGGCTTTCTGCAGCTGATTCCCAAGAAGATATCGTAATAGCATTTGAACCGGTAGTGGTACTGTCACTTTTATTTGAACAGCGTTTACCTTTACCTTTAAGTTGATGGCTCAATTTCTGAAAATCAGAAATATTTTGATTTGGCGAAGAAAAAGTTCTATGAATTGTAACTTCCTGATGTAAAAGCCTCTCTGCACTAGTGGAGTCATCAGTGAGTGGATGCGGTTCACTTGTAAGCGGAGGAGACCAGCTCCTATTAGAGAATAACGTTGATCCAGAAAGACCAGAAGGTCCTGGGGAACTCGTCGAGGGAGATAAAGGTAATGTACCAAACTCGTCTGGCGAATCCCAACCTACAACAATAATATGCACATCATTTTTAAAGTGCTACTCTGACGAAAATCGCTCAAACTTGGATTCAGCTGAAACTTCCTAAGAATACTCTTTAAAGGTCCAATAATCACTGTATGAAGTGTTTTCTCGATATTCAGTACGAAAGTATGATATTATTACGATTATTTTTTTGGAGTCTGTGACGTCATACACTCAACATCAAACATTGCTACATATATTTCTTTGTATATTTTATTTTATTCCTATGAAGCCCAAAGGGTGGCTAATGTGCTTATTTCACATTACTTGTGACTATAATTTATATTTTGGGGTGTTTGGGTATTTCTTTCTCCTTTTACTACTGATATTTTGATCATAAACTACAAAGAAAAGTATGGAGCGATGTTCGATGTTGAGTGTATGACGTCACAGACTCCAAAAAATAATCGTAAAAATATCATACTTTCGTACTGAATATCGAGAAAACACTTCATACAGTGATTATTGGACCTTTAAAGAGTATTCTTAGGAAGTTTCAGCTGAATCCAAGTTTGAGCGATTTTCGTCATAGTAGCACTTTAAACTCAATTCCACTCAAAAAACTATAAACGTATTTCAATAACTCAAGACTAAAAACGCAATCTAAACTAAACTTTATAGAACTGAACTGAAGTCAAACTTTTAAGTTAAAACTACTGAAACTGACACAAAATTGTGTAACACCGTTTATCAATAGTCGCACGTGTGCTTGCCTTCTAATTGTTCAGTGTTTGTTGTGCGTGAGTATGTGTGTTCTTTCATCGGGCAGTAGAACGTACGATAGCACATCTTTGCAAACTCACTGCAGGATCAACAAAACTTACCTGTGATGCTGGTATTTACAATGAACGGAGTTGCAGATGTGTCTTGATTGCCGTTTGTTCGTAGACACTCGTACTGAGCCCGCTCATCGTAAGTAGGCATGTCGTAGGGGGAACGGGCAAAGCTCAAAAACTCGTGTGCAAAGTGATGAGTGTTCTCAAAGAGGAAGGGATAAAGTTGCTGGATGAATTCCTCTGACACAATCTCCAGTCTAAACAAAAACACATTAGGACTGAGTTATTAGAAAACAACAACTGTAAATGTCCTTAATTGGCGCGAAAGTTCACATCAAATCGACAGGAGCTCACTCCCTAGAACGAGGCAATGGGAGATTCATTTGGCTGCACAAGGCTTTTTTCACATCCCGACCACATCGAAAAATGTGGAATTCTCCCTATTGCTCCTTAGGGTTTCCTTACCCCATCACACGATGCATCTTGCAAGCGTTTTATCAGTACGCCATCCTGACTCCCCTTATACTTCTTAGGGTTCCCTTACCCCATCAAGCCACTTGTCCAAAGCACAGGGCACTAACAAAGCAGCATATTTTTTGAATTAGCAAGCAGGTTTTTTTATTACTCACCTTGTTATAAGAGTCATAATCAGCTGCACGAGGAAGTCCACATGTCTATGATCCTCATCCAGTAAGCAGCTTAACTCACGTGTTAACCAGGGAACCAGGCGATGCGTACAAGCAGGGTTATCATGAAAAAACTGTGGTGCTAATAATAATAAAAAATTGCAGGATTAGCTTACAGTCACTCCTCAAACCTCCTTAGATCAGTTTTCGTATGAAACCCCTACCTTACCCTACCGTGCTCACGGCACGAACACGGTCATGACACGGCAAGGCATACTCCAGACCAATCACATTGCACGAGAATTTACTCTCCTCCAATCAAATACCCAGAACACAGCACAAATACGGTCCGGACATGGTCACGCCAGAGTCACGGCACTACTAGACCAAGCACATGCATTAACGCGAGAAAAAAATCCGCCAATTGAAATTCTAGAAAACACGGTCACTGCACGGCACGCTTAACCCACTGAWCTTTTCACAGTCATGCGAAAACCGCTCTATTACATACCGTATTCACTACTATTAATGCTGCTGCTACTGTTGTTGTTGTTGTTGTTGTTGTTGTTGTTATGATTATGATTATGATAACACTGTATAATTATGAATATGATTATAATTATAATGATAATTATTATTATCATTATCATTTTTAAGTACTTACAAGTGTCTCTGAATCTTGCACGACCCCTTTGTGTTACCTTCTGGACCCAAAGATTATTGGCATAAATTGATCTGGTAAAGTATAAAATAGAGATCATATTTAGTTCACAGGGTAACCAATATTAATATATTTAAGATTTAAATCACTTGTATTTTCTGCAATCTGATTGGCTCTCAGTAGTGTGATTTAACCATAAATCACACCATTTTGAGTTTTAAATAGTACTGTTTTGAAAAGCCAATTAAAAAACTCATTAATAATTCATGAAGGAAACACAATAGAAATCATGACCATGAAGGAGGTTTTATATCAGATATAGAATCATCTTCATTTGCATAAACTTTAACTTGGATTTTCTCTTTCAAACTTGGTTCATTTCATAAAAAATTCAGTACRATATGAGAACTTACAAAATAAAGTTTTTTAAGCCGTTTAATAAACTCGCAGATCGTGTTTTATCAGGTCTAAAACCACTCCTCGGCTGCGCCTCATGTTTTATACCTGATAAAACACTCCTGCTCGTTTATTAAACAGTACTTAAAATGAAGAAAACATAGCATTTGACCAATCAGATCACAGAAAAAAACAAGTCAAAAAAAAAAAAAAACACATAAGAAAAATTGTAGGGGATTTTTTTAGGTGAAAATCAGTTCTTTTACTAAAATGTTAATTAAAATTAAAGTATTAATTCAGTATTATTGCAAGAGATTTCAAAATAGGTATAAATAATTGGTAATTAAACTTTGTTTCATGCAATTTTGATCTGAAATCAAACTTGTTATTACTCCCCCTACTCCGTCATACAATTTTGTAATGTCACTCCTTTGATTTCAGACAATAATATTACACTCCACTCAGTTCAATTACCATAATATTTCAAATGCAATTACTTTCGCTTTTTCTTTGCTTCAGCTTGTTTCTTCCTGGCAAATGAAATCCTTCTCTCCCTTCTGTGTGTCCTCCATTCCCTCAAATTTGAAGACCTAGCAGCATTATCTTGTTGAGAACGATGTGCATTATCATCCACAGTTATAATATGACCCATACTCCTAACACCAATACTTTTCTGTTTTGAATGCTGTCTTTGAGCAGGAAGCCTATGCTAAAAGCAAAGGAAAAGGATATATATAAGACCCATGTCAAATCCTGCTGTACAATATAAAATGCTCACCAAAAATTTAAAATTTGAAATGAGGCCAAACAAAAAAATAAGTGTGTTTCCTGTTGCATGAAAAAAATCATTGGCGTCAGAGGGTTAGATTTTTTTTACTGATACAACAGTGGAAATGAGCTTACTGGGAACCCTGTCGGGCATTTGGGAATGAAAAAAATATTAGGGTGGGCAAAAATCGGCAAGAAAATTAGGGTTGGTCACACAACAGGARACACACTTATTTTTTTGTTTGGTCTAAAAGTGGCATTGATGAGTCTGAGAGCATTGTCAGGCAGCATTTTTAAAAACAACAGCATTAACATAAAGCGTTGGGTGTTGTGGAAAGAAAGAAATATTTTGTCAAATTATTGCCAGACACCATTACTGTGCAAAATAAGAATTAATTTTGTTCACAGTCACTGTTGTTATCTAAAATTTTATGGTAATAACTTTATTTTTAAATTAATTCATAATAATTATTGTATCATAATTTAAAATTTATATGCAACTTGTATGCAATTTGTATGCAAGTTTTATATGCAAGTTATTTCACTACTCCAGGTTCAAGTTCTCTGTTGCTCAGCGTTAGCCTCAAATGTGCATAAATAGTCAGCCTGGAGAGGAAAATATGTATTGTTGGGGTGCATTTAATGCTATAGCTGTGATATTAGTTGATGAGCTTCTCTTGTTAGATCATGCAACCAACACGGTGGCAGTTTCATTGTTATTTATGTTTTGAGGGTTTTTGAGTCATGTGTCATGTCGTGTTACATCATTACCACAGGCCATACTAATACTAAATAATATATTTCATACTATAAATGCTAACCTGAGCAACTACAGTAGGAATAACCTTGCATAAATTAACAGCAAAAAAACTCACCAACTCATATTCCATCATGGATTTAACGGAATGTATAATAGATGAAAAGCTCGCTTTACATAATGGACATGTTCTAACAATCTCAGACCACTGTAGGATACAGTAGAAACAGAATGCATTTATATAATGTTAAGGAGGATCACAGGAAAAGAAAATGCTGCTATCTCTAAATCATTTCTTGAATTTTGATGCACCAAACATCTACAGTACTACAGGATCTAGTTTTCAAAGTAATTGCATTTWAAAAAAAAATTACAAATTCATTGTAAAAAAAAGTTTTGAACCAACATTTTTCTAAACACACAAAACAAACATGTGCAAACAACTGCACGTCCTAACAAAGTGCAAGGAAAAATAAGATATYCTGGGTAGAACGTCTTCCAGATTATAAAACAACTACTACTGGTAAAATGTCATCTGATAGCTTTCTGCCACTGTCTCTGTTAAAGCCCATTTTCGTTGTTGCCATTTACCCTCAGCTTGTTACATGTAGATTTGTTTTACACTTAGCACTAATAATTTGTAAACCTGATGATGAGCCATTGGCTTAAAAGCTTGGCAATAATGTAAAAATTTATCCTAGGTAATTTTGGTAAAAGAAACATGGGAAGCACTGGTGGCGTGCGCTGCTAATGCGCCGCCTCTCACCAATGTGGCCCGAGTTCGAGTCCTGCCAATCTCGATGTCGTATGTGAGTAGAGTTGTTTGTTGGTTCTCTCCTGTGCTTCAAGGGTTTTCCTCCGGGTCCTCAGGTTTTCCTCCCTCCTCCCTCCCTCCTCAAAAATCAACTTCTAAATTCTAATTCGATCTCTGGGCTTTCACTTAATTTGGAGCCTAGCTCTGTTGTGATTGTCCCACGCTGTGATACAACAACGAATAGCTTTGTAGATTTTAACATTTATTTTGCAAATGTACATAAAAATGACTCTTAAAACTAAAACTGTGTTTTCCCACTCCCAAGCCAAAAAATATTGAGTATGGGCCTAGTTAGTTGTAATGTTCTGCATGTCCCCAAGACTTTAGTAGTATAATTTAGGTGTAGATTCTATTCAGCAATAATCTTACATTCTATTGATTAAAAAAAGGATATGAAAACATTGATCCAAAAAGGACTTGTTGTCAAATTTTCCAAGGCATATCGAACAAGTGACATCTCTTGGACTATTGCATCTGGTGTCGGCTTTGGATTGGGGATCACAGTCATACTCGTCGTTTATACTACCCTCTCCTTCTTCTGTCATTACTAAAGACTTCCCAACCCCAGACATATGCTTTTCCTCCTTCTTCTCTACCTCTTCATCACCACTTTCAATTTTTATAAGAGGCTGAATATGTTTGTCTTGCTTCTTCACACATATGATTWGAACTTCATCATCACTAATTATTTCACATGCCAGTTTTTCCATTTCTGGTAACTGTGACTGGCTTGTGTCTGAATGACTTATCTCAACAATATCATTATCTAAGTGATCCATTGATGTAATAGACTGTTCCATATTCATTATACAAGATACCATAGACTGAAATGAAATAAACCACAGATTATTAGAATATAGAATATAGATAAGTTATAGTGCTTGGGAACGAGGTTATTCCGGGCGAAAACCGACCTCGCTGGGAACAAACAAACAAGAATTGTTAACAAGGGAGCAAACAAATAAACTTAATTTCCACTTCTTGCCACTTCAAATAAGCTTATCTTTCGCTATGCTCTCTGTAAGATATTTTAATGCGAAGCTCTTTTGAGATTATTGCGAAGCTCTTTTCAAAAGAACTTCGCTGGACAAACATTCATAATATAACATTTGATAAAGACAATAACGAAGATAAGAATCAGGATTAGAAGCCATATATTGATATGTTAAAAACAAAAGGTAAATGAAACTGAAAAAACATTGAAGGTACCTGAAATAATTCGACTCTCTCTTTGCCTCAACACATCATGACGGTGGTGTTGTTTGCTGACTCAGGTCTGGTCAGCGGATGGTCAAAACACAGATCCAGTCCCCCTCTCAGTTGATAGCCGGAACAGGGAAAAACTTGCATGACGAAAGATTGTGTTATTTTTACGATTAATTAATTTGTTCGTAATACTTCGAAAGAGCTCGATCTAAAACATGAGTATGATGTCTTTTTTACCCTGGAGGAGGCCTAAAGATGTTGTACGTATTATTCGTTTACAAGGTGTGATCCAGAGTGCTTCCAACAGCCCTCGAGCGCTTAACCTGAGAAAGGTGGAAAAATCGATTGATGCTGCATTCAATGTAAAGAAAGTGAAGCCCAAGGCGGTTTGTCTCGAGATCAACAGTATGGGAGGCTCTGCTGTCCAGTCAAACTTAATTTTCAACCGTATCAGGGAAATGGCGAGAGAGAATGAGATACCTGTGTTATCATTCGCTGAAGATGCTGCTCTATCTGGTGGCTACTGGCTAGCTCTTGCTGGAGACGAAATATTCATTGACAAAAATACCTTCATTGGTTCTATTGGGGCTTTGTCTGCAAATATTGGCATGGTTGATGCCATGAAAAAGTTGGGTAAGGAACAATTATAATGCCTTAAATCCCACGGTTATATAAGCACCATTGATATGTACACCCTTGTAGTATAGTATCCTCTCTTCCCCACCCACCCTTCCCAGGAAGGAAGTGAAGCATTGGCAGATCTGGGGTGTTCACCTAATAAAAAATGTCAATCTCACATTCTTAGAGATTGTCAGAGGGAGGCTTCGCAGGCACCCAGAGAAAGTCTCATGATTGCACACAATCCTATGTAGTTCATTTATGTCTTGATTCCTCCCTCCGTAAAAATCAACATGCGAGTTGAGAGTTGTGTGTATAAAATATTCGAATGTAGTAAGAGGTGTATATAGAGGATACACGGCCCCACAAGCTTTTAGCTTTAATACCTACCGTGTATAAATAAAAACAGGTTTATTTTATTTTTATTTATTACTTACTTGCAAACAGGTATTGAAAGAAGACTTATAACCGCTGGTGAAAACAAAGTCAGATGGGATCCATTTAAGCCTGAGAAGATAGAGGACAGGGAATGGATGAAAGGTCTTTTAACTCAAGTTCATAACAACTTTATTGAATTGGTTAAAGAACGCAGGCCTCACATGGACAAGGACCACAAGACAGCTTTTACTGGGGACTTCTTTGTTGGTGAGACTGCAGTGAAAATTGGGCTTGCTGATGGGACAATAAATGACATGAAGTCATTTTGCCGCAAAAGGTTTGGGAAAGATGTAGTTTTCCAGCGATGTGATGTACCCAGTGGGTTATTTGCTAAAATGTTACGAAGAAATGTAGGTTCTGAGACATCAATTCAAATTGATGATGCCTTAGATTCTATTGCTGTGCGTGAAATGCAGTCACGCTATTCTCTGTGACAATCTTGTTTGTGCATGGCTATGATCCAGACTGTCTATTAGTCTGAGTCTAATGCTCCAGTGGTTTTCTGACTTTGGACTAAAGCAAGAAGGCATAGTCCCAAGTGCCAAGTTAAAACAAAACTTTGATCTGTGTACAGTAGTTCATAATTAGATTAATAAAATTTTATCTGAAAAAAGGACCGGTCTAACAGAAAGCCAGAGATAAGAAAAATAATCTAATCTAATATATATTAATTATCATAATATTATAGTTTTCATGGGTATAGGCAAATAAAATAATCAATGACAAAACACACAATGACCATGACCATGTAGAGGTATTTACCTTACTGTAGTGTTGGTGGATTTACCCACCCCACCCGTTAGGTTTGCAAGCGTGCGAGTGCGCATGTGTGTAATAAAGAGACGAGCATCAAAGCACATGGTTTAGTGTAGTTGATTATTATTTAGAAAATACACCACACTTACGTTATTAAACTAGCTAGGTGTTGTTGTAATCCAAGTATTCAAATTAAAAATAAGTTAGTTACAGAAGAAATTGTTTAGCCCCACCACTTTTTTAGCTTGCTCCACAAGCCCTGCCATAGATTGTGGGTAAAAAAGCAAGCTGACCTGCTTCCTATAAGAAAAATGCCTATGGTTTACACAAACATCTCAGAATCATGCAGCAATAAAAGTGCAAAGGTTTAGCTCTTTTTTTTAAAGTTAGAGGGGCACTTGGATGAAAATGCCCCAATTTTTGAAAGTCTGAATAATTGAAGTGTTTTAAGAACATATGATTCAATTATGATTATGTAAACCAGATTAGTGGAAATTTTAGCCTGAGAGCCACTTGCAGTTGAGAAACTCTGGTTTAAAAGCAAAAAGAACAATAGGGTTGAGTAAATGATGTCATTTACTCACAATTTAGATGCTGAATGAAATTGATATTTTTTATCCGCCACTTTTGATTGTGAAGGAAACATGTTGTTTGGCTACTATAATTGGGGCCATATAGATACTTTTAACTAAGTTTCAAGTAATTTCCAATTTTCATCAATTTTCATCCAAGTGCACCTTAATAAAAATTAATTTGTATCTTAATCTATTAACCAATGCCCAAGGTTTGTTTTGTATGTAGACCTTTTCTAATGTTTGTACTCATAAAAATGATGTTTCTTTTCAGGTTTTATGTACATTTATTTTCATCATCATTTATTCTTTTTATTTGTTCCTTCTTGATCATATCTTACCTCACTGTTTAGTTTTCAAGCAGCTTTGTTTGTTTTCTCTGACAATTTGGAACATGCACATACATTTTCCAGCCCTGACATTAAAGTAGTGCAACTAAGTAAACTCATTACTCTCCAAATGAATTGTTAAAATTTATTGAATGTTTTGAGGAAATTTTTYCCCCCAGCTAAATTGTACAAGGACTTGAAGTTTTTGTTCACACAACTTTTCTTTAATGGTTTTGATCAGTGTTTAGTGCTCCAGATGCAATTTCACTTTCCAGCAGCTTGATTACACTCATGTAATCAAACTTGTCAGGTTCCTTATTGAATATTCTTAATAAGTCATCCTTTGCAGCACTAGTAGAAGCATAGTACATCTGAATCTGATAACCAAGCCACTGTGCATCAGTCACACTCTACAAAACACCAAATGAATGAGTTTGGTTGAAATAACATATTGTAATAACACTATTGTTCTGTTACACCCTTACTGTAGCAACATCAAAAACAAAAGATATTTCTATTCAATAGATTGTCTGGTATTTTAAAACCTTGACTGTAAGTTAAAAAAAAAAACATTTTAAAAAGATATTAAATATAAATATAGCTCTAATTACAATACAGTTTTAACAGTTAACAGTATTGCTCTGACAACATTTTTTTTCTAGTCAAGGCTGACAGTTTATATACATTCAAGAAAATAATAGACATTAGTATAATTTTAGACTTGAATATAGAGTTTCTTGAGCTGTGATTGGTTGGGCGACCAGTGTTTCTGAGACAATAATTACTGCTGGAACAGCAATTTATTATGAGGTTTTCCAAAGTTTTTCAGATCGGAAGTAATACTAAAATGCTTTTTTATCCTGAATTTTAGCTTTTCTCTGATATTCAAGTCTAAATACTAAAACAATAATTATTCCCCACAGGCTCAGTGACTATGGGGAATATTTACCTCACTGCTTGGTAAATATTCCACCATAATCACTTTGCCTTCAGCGAATAATCGTTAAATGCATTTAGGAATCTTGATTATGTTCTTTCTAACCTACCAGTTGCTTTGTGTCTGGTTCCCCAACCATTAGGACGATCCCTGAAATATAGAAATTAAGCATGAAGAATTAGAGTGTGAGACGCTTACAGCTGTACATGTACTACTGTATATTAAGAAAGTATAATTAACACTTATTTACTGGGACCGAGGGAAACAATATGTTTTGTGGTCCCGAGACCGCCGATGTTTCCCTTGGCTCCGCCTCGATCTTGAAACATCAGCGCTTTCCCTCGGTCCCAGTAAATAAGTTCTTTATTATCATACCAAGTGTCAAAGAGAACAAGAAAAATCGGGAAGACTTCATCTTTAATCTGATGTTTCGTGACAGGAAATGTGTGAATGAATGAATTTTGAACGTGTGCTCAAGTGTGTTGCTTTCTGGTTTCCGGTTTTTATATTTTTTCAATCACGTGACTTCCGGTGTTGTCATTCCCGGTGCATAACATAATATTCCCCTCCCAGAATGGTTGCCAGGAAACAGTTGAATTTCTTCACGTTCACATGACGCACTCTCCACCAATAGAAATTGAGGAAAATTGAACTTTGATACTTGGTATATATTATAATATATGATATAGTATACAAAACAAATAAAACAGTTTTTCCATGCTCTGTTCAGTAATAAAGCATGCAGGAAATGACGGAAGTATGAAAGAAGCATAAGGAGAGGCCTGAGTGCCTATGTACGTGAGTGCTTCTCACACTTCTTGAGTGCTTACCAACAGTGTTGATAGATGCAGGGCAGAGGTGCATGTTATATTTTGAACTACTTGCTCTTTATTTTTTTCTTATACCATATGAAATAGATTTTTCATAATTATTATATATATACTCTACATAAAGTGCTACGCAGTTTATCCTTATCTAGTAATTATAATAACATATGTATGATCAGGAGATGTAACACCCAAGGCATCCAGATTCCCATTTCAGTCTTGCCAACACATCTACAGTACTACCAGACTCCCTTGCACRCTTTCTTTTGTTAAATTAATTAGCATCAGTTTTTTTACTATTCTCATAAGGAAATACAAAATAATTTGAATAAGAAATGAAATTTGTGAGTCAAATAAAGCCGTCATTTAAACTCAGAACATGAATTTTCATTGGAAAACATAATTACCTTTAGATTCTCTCAATTCTGTAAAGTGCTTTATTGCCAGAACCCATGGAGCATTTTCACCAAAACTCTAATTGACATAAAAACATTGGAATGAGAAGATTTGATAAAGAGGAACAAAACTGAGTGCATGATGCTTACAAGTATATTAATATTATTAAATTAATATAGAATAATTAATATCTGATCTGTAGATGATCAAGATCAAGGGAGCACGGCAGAATGTTGTTTTTGACGATATGATGGAGGAATTTTGATTAAACGTCCGCCATATTGCTCTCTACTTTGTCTTTCCGCTGACCATTTATTACGCAGGCGAGTTCGCCCCTTCGGGGCTCCCCTGTGCCTACGTAATCAATGGTCATGGTTAAAGAAATTTTAGTTTTCATTCAAAAATAGATATTCAATTCTACAGCTGTACTTTATTTTTCCACCTGATATTGCAAAAGAGGTGTCACAAAGCAGGAATTTCCTGAGAATTCTGCAAACATGAATTCATATCCATTTTCTCTTGGAATAGGATAAATAAACTGGCAATGGAAAATAATAATAATATCATAATTAAATAACAATTACAAAACATATTATTAACATATTATAGCATACATTATGTATTTTAGATGACCAGCATTTATTTTCTATGAAATGAATAATAAATAGCTCAAACCAGTGGATATTTTGCAGCTTTCTCCTGTATTCTTTGGTACACATCACTCTGAAGAAGAATTAATGAAAACAAGGATATTATCTTGGGACTACAAAACACAATGTTTCCCTTGGTCCCAGTGACTATCCAAGCACCACTGACAATAAAGTTCTACATTTTTGTACATTTTATAGAATGCACATGATTGTTGAAAGTTTTGATACTTACTGAGATACAAGCACTGATGCAATCTTTTCCCCCATGGTATTCTTTCCAAATCTATAATAAAACTCAATAAGCTAAGAAATAATTCCTTAATTGCTAAACTCAAATTTATATAATTATGACCATTGAATGTTTCTTCGATCAGTTATCAGGTATTTACTGTACATGACTATAACAGAGAATTCAGTAGAGTGCAGGAGGAAAAACAAAAAAATAGTGCAGAATAATTATGTTAATACAGTAAAAACTAGTCTCCAAGGTCTTTAGCAACAGGTGAAAGGAACAGTCAAATGTTTGATAAATAGACAGGTTTTAGAGCCTCCATTTTGTCACAAAAGCAATAAAATGCACCCAGAAATGACAAATTTAGAAGTTTATTTCAGTTCAGAAGATTTCATAAATTTGTTTATTTATTCTGGGTATCCGGGTATTTTATCATACATTTTGCAGAAAATGACCAATATCGCAGAAAACGTTAAATAGTGCAGAGTCCCACCCTCATGCCTCTATCAGATGCTCTGAATAGAGATTATGCAGAAACAATCTTGTTGTAATGGATCCAGGTGATCTCGGAAAGCACTCAATGCGTGATTTTCTAACTTGAAAAAGAATCAATCCCTAACATGACCGTGCACATAGAGTTCTGGACGAAACATTGCCATGAAGGACACCATTTTGTTTTGAGTTGGATTTGAATATGTATTCTCTTGAAATGTAGTGCGAAATATTGGTGAAAAGAAGCCATAGCTGCACATTTGAAGTCTATAGTAATGTTTCAAGTTATGTACAGTACAAGAAAAATTTTACTAGAAAAGCTTATTTTGAGTAAGTGTTTATACATTTTTTGTAATTCGTATAGCCAACAAAGTTAACCTTATGAAGTTTTTTGTTTCGAAAATGCATTGAAAACTTGATAATATGCTCAAATTGCTATTTGGTAGTAACGTGTATGTACGTATATTAATATTCTTAATGACAATAAACCTTTTTTTGATTTAAAAATGTGTTGTATTTACGTGTTATTCTCATATGTGTTAAGTTCTTGATTATTACCGATCCACACATGTTTCTTTTCTGCTTCTCAAGGTGCGCAAAGGTCTATTGGGATTGATTCTTTTTCAACAAATGTGATTTGCAATCTGATTGGCTAATCAATTTTCATCTGATCACCTGGTATAATTATATAACAAGTACAGGTACAGAAGTAGTAATGTAGCAATATTTACATACATGTACCTGTGCAATTTCTTCTGCACTTAGCTCCTTAAYGAGATCCATATGAATAACTGTATCTAATGTCTGCAGTATAAAGATTACAGTAGTTATAACGAGACAATTGATTAAAACTGATTGTTTTCCTTTATCATTATAACTGGGTTATGAAACAAAAGGATCATAAATTTGGTGCCAGTAGTTAAGCTGGTATAGACAACAGTTGGCAGTAAGTTGCTGTGGGTTGTCAGTTGGATGATGGCAGGCTGCAGACAATAGGATAACAGCATATGAACATATACTGTATTAGACACTATTATATAATGTTAGCAATATTTACAGTATAAATATGTATTTTGGTCTTTAGGCTGTAAGAAGTGTACTGAACTGATGTCATTTTGCCTGGATCAACATATGTCGACCTTATCATGCAGAAGTTATGAAGTTAGAAAACATTGGTCAGGATCAGCGTACTGTACCATGCTCTGCCTCTAAAGTTCAGTGCTTGCAGTTGTTGTGGGTTTACTTACTTGTTCTCCATATTGAGTAGCTCCCCCCTTCTGAGACTGACTATTGGTATCTCTAAATGTCTACAGTAAAAACACAAAATAATAAGTTAGAATGATCAAAATATATAATAATGAATAGTGATAGCATACTGCTTCATTACAAGAATTTTGTCATATTGGTGATGTCATATACCTAGCAAAAGCTAGATACACTTCTGGGTGGAGGATTGCACACAAGTCCTCTCCAGGTCAGGGTTGTCAATAAAATTTTTGGAAGGCGGTTATAAAATTGAAATAGGCGGTAAACCGGAAATCACTGGACCATGTAATTGAGGCACCAGTCTCACTCTTCACAAAAATTCAGGATGGTGGACAACTACCATTGTAGTTTCGCTTGCGTTGCAGTTTTTGTAGTACAGCAACAAAGATTGGGTTACAATTTATTTTATTCACACATTTTGCTAGTTTAAAGAACTTTAATCAAGATTTACAAYTACATTGGGAAGTGGCCGAGTAGGTGGCTGAGTTAGTGAGAGAATTGGGAATTGACTGAGTAGGCGGCCGAATTAGCAAGAGTATAGACGGTGGAATCTGCCGGTTGCCGGCTTCTATTGACAACCCTGCAGGTTGGCATGGCAACTAATAGTTTTTAAAGCTTAAAAGGCAGTTCTAGATGTAAACTCATTTATCGATGAATGCTAGTTGACAGAAGTCATAGATGATAAACCAAAAACAAATATCCCGAATATTGCTAAATAAGTACTGCAGCTTCATAGCCGGGGAGTGAGTACCAGCCCAGATTTCAAAATTCTGGAGATACAGATAATGAGACAGAAAAGAGTAAAAGTCTACTAGCATACATTTAAAATATTACTCTTTTCTTCAAACCTTTTCTTTTAGTTGATTTCTGGCATAAGCTTTCATTTTGTCAACCTCCTTTAAACTTCTGTCATCAAACTGGGTTTTGGTTTCCAATCTTTGGTTGTCTTTTTTTCTAAAATCATGAAATGCTTTTGAAAACTAATGAGATATAGGAAAAATGATCTATTCATTTACAATTTACTTGGTCAAATCAACGTACTTATCCTTCAAAGTATTCTTGTTGATCATTTGGATTTTCTCTGCATATTTGTGGTAAAATGGATTGTGTTCTAGTTCAGTTTTCTCGTTATCCAAGTCCGACGAAGTAGAAAATATTCTTCCATTGGATAGGTTTAAGRATGAACATCTACTTAAATCTACTGATAAAAGACAAGATAATCTTTGTGAAGTAGAAAAACTCGACGATGCTCGAAACACATTTCTCCATGAGGCTGCCATATTGTTTTTGCACAAAGTACTTGCGACCAGCGGATAATTCCACAAGAAGTCCAAACACAGGGAGCCCAATTTAGATTAAAGTGAATGGTAAATATTTAATATTAAATAATTAAATAATTTTCTTAAATTAGAGGTCAAGATAATGTCCTCCGTAATGCGAAAGAGTAAAAAATCGATAAAAAATGCCCTGGAACATTTTTTTTCTGACAATGAAAGAGTACATATGCATAATAAAACAAAAGCGCGTGCGAAAAAAATGTTCTAGTGCATCTTTTATCGAGTTTTTTACTTTTTCATTTTACAGAGGACGTTATATTGACCTCGAATTTCAAAAAAATAGTTGATTATTTAATTCTTCCGATTTTATTTTCATCATTCCCTTTAATCTAAGCTGGGCTTCCTGTGGTCCAACCAAGGCTTCAATCTCGTACCCAGAGCCCCATAGGCAGCCCAATCTCTTGTTCTGTGGTGTTGTCGTATTTGCATATAAACGGTAATATTTCGTAGTGCGTAAAATTAGTACTTTTAAGAATAATAACGACTTTCGTTGATAGCTCGTTGTATCTTTTAACGTTCAGCTGATTTTGCAGCCAGTTTGGTGCGTTTTTTACGGGGCTTATCGTTTTTTTCGTCCTCTTTTTTTTTTTAGTAGGAGTCTCGCTCGCCTTTCAAAGCCATCGCAACCGAGACTTGGAGCAATTCTACATTCATTTAAGAATTCTCGCTTTTTTGCCGCAGGCCAACAGAAACGCAGACTCTAGCTACGAGATTGCGGCGCCTTCAATCTGACTACGCATGCGCACTGATACAAAGCGCTATCCAGCAGTTGAATGCCCAGACTTATTCGGTATAAGCTTACTACTTTATGTTAGACTTCATGAAGTGTCACTATTTCCTAATAAAGTTTAAGGTTAGGGTTAGGGTTAGGATTCTTTTTTTTTTTTTTTTTTTACAATTTTATTGGTTAATAGCTATATAAATAAGGTACATGTCTACATAATTAGAAGGRAAAAAATGTGAAAGAATACCCACTAGGGAGAGCGGGAGGCTAGGTCCCATGATAGGCACTTCTATTGAGGACGCACATAAAATAATATAAAATTTAATAAATTAAAATAACTAAGTAAATATACTTTTATCTGTGACATAACTAGCTCGCAAACTAGTGACCATGTGCAAGGAAAGTGGATATTAGATAAGGAGATCGCAGTATTTCAGCCTCGGAAATTATCGAAATGGCGAAAGGCTGGATGAAAAACTAAACTTTTTCTTGTTAAGTTCGTCTGTGAAACAACGCCACTAAACGTGTTCTGGACCCCCAGTGGACTAGCAAGGATGTATGAAGCGATTTCTGATTGGCTCTCGCCTTGTTCGATTCTAACACAATCGCTGATTGGTTACGTCGTGCAAAGGTCTTGGAATTAACATCCTGAAAAACGGCAAGGGAATCTACCATCAACAATTAATTGGTTTTTCTTTCTGTTGTTCCTCAATTTTTCTGGTAGACTCCTCCATGCTCCGTCATGCTGGTAGGTTACGAAATTACGCCCTATCTAGCTTATCTAATCAGCATTCAAACGTGTTTACTGCTGATAATAATAATAATAATAATATTAATATTAACAATAATTAATTAAGATTGCGGAGAGAACTGTTGAAAAACAAGAAAAATACACGAAACTACGTGCAGGCATCAAAAAAGAGTGCAAAAGCTCAAGTGTAAATCAGATTAACATAGTGTTTGACTTTCTCGCAGGACATCACGAACAGCTAAGAAAAGACCTAAGAACAATTACAAATACAGACAGGGAAKTGAACTTTCTTATAGAACGATGTCAGAAATGGATTTTAAGCCAGAACGTTAATATAGTCAAGAAGTTCTATGAATATGCATAAGCTGAAGAAAGGATTGRAAAAAAAATGATGAACTTAACCAGTCTAGACTTAGTCCGCTGGTCAATGTAAACATGATATATACAGACAAATAAAACTTGCCATAATAAATTATAAAACAATAAAAAACAGAGATTATGAATATAACAAATAACAAATATATGTAATAATTACTTATTTATCTATGAAGACATATTGGTAAAATAAATTAATAGCTATAGTAAATATTTATGTGTTTAAATATGACTAACTCAATCACCTGGACTGCGAGTATCCCATGTCTAGATAACATACTCGCAGTCCAGGTATTTGAGAGAGACTAGGGAGAGTATAATTGTCAGGGGAATTTTATTCAGTTGGCTAGTAGTCGTACCCTACGATAATATAAATTAAGCTATAATAAATATTTATGTGTTTAAATATGACTAACTCAATCACCGGCACTGCGAGTATCCCATGTCTAGATAACATACTCGCAGTCCAGGTGATTGAGTGAGACTAGGGAGAGTATAATTGTCAGGGGTTTTTTATTCAGTTGGCTAGCAGTCGTACCCTACGATAGTATAAATTAAGCTATACTGTACCAACTGTGCTAATAGGGTGCATGGCGGCTTTTTTCTATACGTTTAGCCCTTTCGTGCACAGGTAAACGATGAAAGCTTGAGGTTACTATGTCCATACTTATCGGAATTTAATTTGCTAAAGCTTAAAAATATTGACGTTTATTACGTCAAGTTTTTATTCGTAAACGCACAGGGAGCCCGGCTTTAGAATCTGTACATGAATAAATAAATCAATAAAGTGCTTTGGGTTTCCTGTGTTGAGATTTGAAACAAGACGSCAATGATAAATAAGTCAATAAAGTACTTTGGGTTTCCTGTGTTGAGATTTGGTAACTTGATAGCAGATTAATGTAAGTAATTCGAGAGCAGCTTATAATTCAAATTTAATGTGTTAGTGTAACGCACGCCCTAGTAAATGGGCGTGCGTTACACTGATGTGTTACGTTAATCTGCTATCAAGTTACTGGTAGTACGATTACCGGAAATTCAACGTATCAGCGTCTTGTTTCAGATCTCAACACAGGAAACCCAAAGAACTTTATTGATTCATTTATTCACGTACAAATCCCAAAGCCGGGCTCCCTGTGGTAAACGCATACTTGATACGCTCTCCAAAGTAGTGGTTTGGACAAGGAAAACGAATACCTTGGGGGGGGGGGGGGGATTTCAAAAAAACGCTACAGTTCCAAGGTCTGTTCCCTTCTGTTTTCAATTGTTTTAGAATTGTGTTAACGTTGATGTGTGGATCAAGGTTAAAACGATTCATAAAAGATGACTGTTTAGGCTTGTTTACATGTACCAACCTTGTCTCTGGGAACGAGATTGTACCTGTGGACGTACAGGATTCGTTTACAAGATGCACATGATACGTTTTCGAATAAAACTTATACGTGCCGTGGACGCATTCTAAGTCACATGCCCGGGAAACTTCAATTTCACATTTTCAAATTCGATCCCGATAAGTGTGGACATACATGGCCTTATCAACCAATTCCAAAAATACGAATGGAATGTCCGCTGGTCAATGACGTTTGTTCCATTTTAAAATTAAGAAAATRTGGCCAATTGTTTGAACCTTTTGAGAACTGTGTAACCGGCGTTGGCGGAAAAGCTTTCAATGAATTTATATATGATATTTGATGTGATCATTAATGTTCATCAGCTTATGCAACAAATTATTCGGCTGTTTTTTATATCATTATTGTACTTGATAAATTATGAATCTCTACAACGACAGTATATTTAATTCATGATATAAAACTTGACGCTGCACTTATGCCTGATCGTGATTATTATCAAACAGAGCTGTTCCACAGGCATCCCAAGGAATGTTTCTGTGTACGTGGTTATTGCTAGTCAAGCTGAAAAATCGTTAAATTGAAGAATACAAAAATAGGGCATATGTTTCTTTTATGTTATATTGTTCGATAAAAATACCTGAGCCACCTGAGCATGCGCACACAAGGAACATTCCTTGGGATGCCTGTGCGCTATATGTGGTACTCGTCAAATATTATAATTGTCCAACCGGGCCCCTTATTCTTAAATGTTGATATATATATATGTATATATTTTATTAAAGCACCATATATTATATATAGTATAACGCTATTAGTCACGCATGTAAAATTTCCCTTGCAGCTGAACTACGGATGGGTTCAGTGCCAGTCGGTGACTAGCTTATCGTGTTCCAGTTTACACCATGTGAAACCAATTTTGGTCAAAATACACGCCACATTTTAGCACGTGAGGTTTAAGCATAAATTATTATTATTACTATTATTTTTTATTTAAACATACTAACCCTCTGTGTTTGCTCCAAGAGCGGCTAAGCTCATCGTGGGAGATTACACAGAACATAATTACAATGCTTTTGGAGTTTTTAGGAAAAGGAAAAAGAGAAATAAGTTTAACATATTAGCAAGAAAAAATAAAAACATAAATATAGAAAAAGTACAATGGCGATTACATCGTGGGAGATTACATGTAACATATTAGAAAGAAAGAAAAAAACATATATACGTATAAAAAGTACAACGGAAAAGAAAATATATCTACAAAATCAATTAAGCGTTCTTTACTCTATACAAATCTTTTGGTGTCTWTCAAATATTGTTGGACACTCAAGAACAGTTTTTGATTTTGCTTAAAAGTTAAATGWGGAGAACCACATAGAAAAAAGGAGTTTACTTTATCAGACTCTGAAGTAAGTTGTTGGAAAAGCTGTGATTGGGCGGGATGTCGGGAACAGAAATAGTGAGAGATGGATTCAACRGATACATCATTGCAATCGCAAAGTGGTGTTGGTTTGCAAGAAATTTTGAATCAGTAAAAATTTCATGCACAATGACCAAGTCTAAGTCTAATGTGTAACATAGAGGTTTGTCTATTGAGAGTGGTATCAAATAATCGATTGTATTCAGTACGAAAATTGCCACGAAGTTTAGTCTTAAAATCATCACTAGGACAAGCGGTTCGGATAGTTTTGTCTAATTTATTCCATTGTGGGATAACCGATGGTAGAAAGGATCTTCTAAATCTATTGGTACGAGTGGGGATTAACGAGGAATCTTCAGTAGATCCCGAGACTAGATATCAAAGAATACTTTGACCTTTGACTTACTTTTAATGGCAGAAAATTGAAAAGGTATGCTGGAGTTATGTGATTGACCATTTTATAGAAAAGACATAGTTTATGAAAAGATCTTCTATTTTTAAGATCTTCCCAACTCAGCTCCTTTAAAAGCTTGATTTTACTTGTTCCTTTAATACCTCAGTAACAACACGAGCTGACTCATATTGCACACYCTCTAATAAATCACTTTYAGCCTCACTACACCCAACCCATATGACATCTGCATATTCCATCAAAGGTCTAACCAGGCTCATGGAAGAACGATGTAGTTTGTACTTTAAACAAGTTCAAGGCTTTACTTGCCTTTTGATGTAGTATTAATATATACTCCTTCCAGGAGAAATCATGTGATAAGACTAAGCCAAGGTGTGTGAGAGCCTACCTCTTTGACAGAAATATTTAAAAAACGAGAGTAGGGTGATATATTTTAGTCGTATTCTTCTTCATCAACCACCTATCACACCATTGGTTTATGATATTTAAGTCGTTAGTTTTTGTGATGATTCTCCAGGATTGTCAACGACATCAAACAACAAAGTATTATTCTGCATAAAGAAGACATTTGGATTGAATGTTATCACAAATTTCAATATAAACAARGTACAACAATGGCCCAAGTACCGAGCTCTGAGGCACGCCAGCGTCTGCGCGAGACCAGTTGGAGCATTGTCCCTCTATGGCCACTCGTGGGTAAATTATTTATCCGGCGTCTGGAACAAGTGTCCTCAACCTTCTTACCAACAGCAAAGCCAACCCTTGATGAATATCGCTTCAAAAGTCTGAATGACATTCTCAAGTCACTTAGTAACCCAGGTTACTAAGCGCAATGGCTTTGTAATATCCTGTTGATTCAGCTTGTCTCTTGATTACCTAATTTCAGGCAAATTTGAACATGTTTAAATAAAAAGAATCAGAATAACAAGCTATCAAAAGTGTGAAAACGTTACAGAGAAGGCATGGTCAGGGGCTGGTAGGCTGCACGCCTTTAACCGTATTCTTATGTAAATTGTTAACACCTTTCTTGTAATTCGGATTCCTTCCATTTAARCATTTTTAGTTTTGCCAGACTTACTAATATTGAGATGCTTTCTCAAGTGAAACCTCTCGTTTGCTAATAAGTTTGGTATTAAAAACTCGCTCCAGTTTGAAATCCGGCGCCAAAGGCAACATGACTTTACAAACGATCGCTTTCATAAATTTTGTAAAAAAAGGAGTTTGTCACCAATATTTATATTAATGTTGTTCATATTYACGAAACGTGAGGCCACTATGTAGTAAAATGTTAATAATCGTTATAAGCTGGAAAATATCATGTCTAGCTAAATACTGACCATCTTTGTGCTGAATAGCATACTCATCACATAGCTAGAACATATCAAACCCGTCGCATACTGGTCTTCACTCAAATCGAGTCAGTTAGAGATATATATTTCATTTAGAGAGTGAAACAAGTTATAGTGTTTCCTCTTTGGCGTACCTTTTTTCAGCATAAAATTGAAAAACTCCAACCCTCATTATTTAAAACTTAACGAGGGTTTTCTTCTACTGTATGATGCACCATTAACTTAGTTCTGCAATAGAACAGTTATACTATAGTATTACTCCTAGGGTGTGTTCGCTCAATATCCGGGGCAATGTTACTTTCAATTAATATAACATCTTCATTATGTTTTCGACACGAATCTGGGCTTTTTCGCAATCGATCTAGTGATCTTGAGTGAGTTCTGTCTTTTAATATTCCTGCGTGTGCAGTACCAGAATTCTTCGTATCACAAACATTCTTTCGTTCATGCGCACTGCAAGGAACACGAAGATCGTTTGTAGACCCATTGCACCGATTTCGCTTCGGGGTATCGTCAAATGTAACAGAAATGTTTTCCCTTCTTGGTTGAAGCGTGTCGTTCCGCGGCAATCTATCGTTCTTGACGTCTTTTGAAAGTTCAGGTAATCTTCTAAAAGCATTTGATCGAGATCTAACTTTGGGTTGTTTAACCCATGTATTCATATCTAAGTCAGGTGGTCTATCCCATATGTTCGGAGGTGGCTTCTCAGGAGTTGTAACATTCTGAGAAGAGTCATGATTACTTAGTAAATGTTCTAGTTTATCGTCCTCTCTATCGTCCTTTGACGAGGGATCAGAAACGCCTGATAAATTAGTCTCTTTGATACTTTCACCTTCTTGAATCTCTGTTTTACCTTCCTCCTTTTTAGTAGGTTCAATATATCCATCCGGTAGTTTGTTTTCATTACAAGGTAAACACATATTTGGTGCAGCTGTCCCTTCATCATGAATGTTCTTCAAATCGATTTCTCTTAAGGCGCTTTCGTGGCTTAAAGGCGAGCGAGCATTATCTTCACTTGAGGTTATATTTTCTTTACTCGAATGAGGATTATAGTAATTCGAGGAGTTAGAGGATAGTGACTGGTTTTTTTGTATTCTCATCTGTTCTCGCAATTCCTCTAGGCGTGCATGATTATTTTCAGCCGCACTGTCAGCATCTGTGGTGTAGAAACTTTCACGCTCGTAACCCGATGACTCTTCGTTTCCAGTGCCTGATGCCCTCTTACTTCTCTTCTTCCTTCGACTGCTTCTTCTTGCAGGAGGAGTAGCGATGGGAGAAATCGCCATTCGTCGAGTCACAGGTGCAGTAATCTGCAACATCACGTCACTTATACCTTTTAACCCATTTGATATATTTGACATATTTGATGTATCTGAGTGACCTAAACTAAGAAGCGGCATTTTTGTAACGCAAGGTAGCTCAGAATCAGAGTTGTCCGACTCTGCCTTCTGAAACTTTGACGACAAAGCAGCTGGCAAATCTMTGTCTCCTTGAGCTTTTCGTCTCACCGATCTTGACCTTGGGTGGATAGATGGATTTCTCAGGTGTCTAAACTCTGATACAGAGTATCTTGGTTCTATTTTTCCCTCTCCAGCATCACTGCCATCCTTACCATTATCGTTATCATCATCATCTTCATCACCATCTATATCCTGTAGACTCGTATTTGACACTAAAACACCAGCTGCCCCAAGAAGCAAGGGCTTTTTTTTCTTTTTTGGAAGTTTTAACTGAGCTTGGGCATGGGAATAGAACAAAGTAAAATTGCTACCAATAACAGAAACAGGAAGGGCTACGATAAGCACCCCCACGCACGCGCAAACCGTGCCGATCATTTTACCAAAAGCAGACTTTGGATAGACATCTCCGTAACCAACGGTTGTCATAGTAATAACAGCCCACCAGAATGTCTCGGGAATATTAGGAAAGTCGGTGTGTTCTCCAAATTTCTGAAAAATATAAAAAAAGGGGTTGTATTATTTTACACATGTGGTTCCAGTTACATCAAAGTATTATGTAGGTATACGCTTTGAAATATAATAAGCCATTAAATTGAAACAGAGCTTTTACAGCTCTAGTAAACAAAACACCTTGAGAACATTGCATATGTTGTAATAGGGAAGTTTCTTTATGAAAACAGCGTTTATCCCTGGCTTTTTAGGTGTAAAATATCAATAATTGTGATATATATATACAGCCATATGCAAAAACTTTGACACTTCCGTACATGTATACAAGTATTACAAATATATCAAAAGTATTTCAAAACTTATGGGATATTATCCCTGTATTTTTTTTTCAAGTAACAAATCACTAGGTCTTTCTGGAAAGAAAAAAAGAAAAAATAGGTATGATACCCCATAATTTTCGATATACTTTTGATATACAGGATATTGAAAAAGGAAAAAGGTATCTCTTATGTGAGGTTATTTTTCTACGAATCGAACAAATTCCATTGCATGAACTTTTAAAACGAGAGCTCAGGTGAGGTTGATAACTTTACGTRTTATAGCTGATTCCAATCATAGACAAAATTTAGGCACTCCAAGGAATGTCTACTTGGCCAAAGTACTTGTTAATAGGAATACAGTTAGTATCACTTACCCATTTTTCTGCGTAAAACAGTAAGGTAGAGAAAATGACCATTGGAATGGAGAGTATTAAAATTAAGAGAAAAAGTTCTCTGGCACTTGCTCGAAGAGTGTGTCCTATGACCTGCATCCCGCTCATTGTGCGAAAAAATCGAAATAACCTAAAAATCCTTACAAGTCGTAAGACAAACAAGAAATCCAATTCTTCTACTTGATTGGCCAAGCTAATGTAAAGGGGTATCACTGACAAAAGATCAACCCAAGTCATGAAACTTTTGAAATAAGCTATTTTAGAAGGGCATGCAAAGAATCGAGCCACAAATTCCACTGTAAACCAAACACAATAAAGATATTCCAGTCCTCGGAATACTTCTCTGTATTGTTTGAAGTATTGCATGGATTCTACGCAAAAAGTTGACACGGAGAGCGCTATGACAGCCAGAGAAATCATTGCTAAAATCTAAAAAGAAAAAAAAAGTATTCAGTTAATGTGTTGAGTTTATGTTTAAAAAAATGCACGAAGACTGCATATCATTTTTTGGGGCTACTTCTAGATGTTCGTGATAACGGGAACCGTCGTGACGGGAAGGAATTTTCAACCAAAAGGCAAACTCCAGCAGGGGTTCGTTACAAAATCTAGGAACAATTTTGACCGAAAACCAGTTCCCAATAGACACGACAGCTATTCCTTGGATATCCCAACCTTGCCGGTGAATCTATAAACATGTTTAAAACCGTCAGAACCTTCATGACTTTTACAATGCAAGATTGCATGGACATTTCACGCGTGCTATCACTTAATGCGTCCAATTAACATATACTTTCCATGTAACATTTCTTCATGTCTTATCTTCTATTTTTACTGTCAGTGTACGTTTATCTTCTCAACTCCCCTGACAACCGACTACTTGGCTCATTTTCATTTCTAATATTCATCACTGAGATATTCAAAAGTCCACCTTAAGTTGAGTGCTCAAACATACAATAAATTATGAATTTTTGCTTTACTGCACTATTTAGCTGACTTTTGATTTACTTTTGACGACTCTTAAAACAGTCATGCGGGCTTGGCTTCTCTTCTAATACACTGGAGTTTAAAGAGTCGTCAATACAGACCATTTCGCTTAGCTATCCTGATTGAATGAATTATTACTATTTAGTCATGTTTGACCTTGAAGCATTTTTTTAAAAAGTAATAAATTAAGGTTATTCATCAGTGTGCCATGATTGTCGTCGAAGACTGTCGACTCGGAAATTCTATTGAACAAAGTGTTGCTTTTGAGATCTAGAGGAGATAGCTTCTTTATTCAGTAACTCGATCGTGAGCTCTACAGACCATGCGTCATCATTTTCACATAGGGGGAGCTTACTCTTTCATTATTGATTGATATTTATTCAAATAAAAAGGGAACTGCGAAAAGGCATTATTGAACAACAGCAACCTACACCGACTGATTTCTATCATAAAAGGGATTTGTTGGCATTGTATGATGCCATAACAGGTCATACAACTAGAATCATAGCATAAAACATATCTGGAGGCAAGAAAAAAGTACGACAGTTTCCAAGGAACATGATTAATCGCCATTTGATCAATACTTGTCGTGATCATAAATATTATGTACATTATTCATCACGGTTTCTGTTGATAAACATCTATATTACTTTTAACATTTTCCAAAATCAGGTACATTGGCAGTGTTTTGTATTCTATTTACAATTGATTCATCAGTCGTGAAAGTTTAGAATAAAGACAAAAAAAAACATATCGGGAATAGCATTATGGAGATTCGATTTTTAAGTATTTACAGAAAAAGCACTCTCTCTTTTTAGTATAGTAAAGCAAATAAGCACTTTATTCGCATCGTTTCAAATGTTACCTCAAAATGACTGTCAACTACGATATTGTTTTTCGTGCATAAATATCAATGATATAGACATTTATGACAAAAAGAAACAATGCTTATGTTCTCTAGCCCCGATGTACTTGACGTTTTAGTACACGGCAACACTGAAGTCTATTTTCAAAGTTATTATGCTGCAACAATTAGTAACGATTATAATTGCGTTTTGTACTCATAACGACGAGAAAGAAGGCAGACAGATAAATAACTCAAGTGATTCTAAAACCTGTTCATGATTCGCAAAAACATTTTTTGTTTTTTTGATGTTGGTTAACTAAATAAAATCTAAAATACTAGAAAACCCAACATTTTAGGTATTTTAGGTATTCTGTTTTTCATTTTTCATTTTGTTGGCCTAAGAACATTGAAATTCMTTTTATATGTGTTTACTCTTGAAATTCCATTCAAAACCTCACAGCTCAAGCTTCATCATATACTAGTAAACGAGGCTTGGTGTAGTGACAATCACGATTTTAGTTTTGGATCTTGCTGGTTTTTATGTTTATTGGTTTGTAAAAAAAAATCAACACGCTCTAGGACACTTTACAATTATCCGTTTCTGCTTTACATATAAAACAGCATTTTCATGAATATTTCTCATTGCTCAGTCATTCTGAGGCAGTCAACAAGTAAATATATTTTGGTTCACTCAAACATTTTGGAAATAATGTATCCTTGCCGTTTCCATTAATGCAGACCAATGTAAACATCTTAAAGGATATACTAGTCTTGATATCATCATGTCATTGAAAGCCTTGCTTTCGTGTCGCTGATATTGACTACACTTCGCGTTTAATTCTCACACGCTATAGATTTATTCAATCGAACTAACTTTGTTTATTATATTTCAACAATACTCTCTTTAAAAAGAAAAACAGAGCTCTCGAAATAGATTAAAAAAACTGTGCCAATTATGTATTTGCATATGTGGATTGATGCGATGACAGTGGGCTTCTAGAAATGAAAAGGAAGGTGGTTGTACAGTTTCTATCCTATACAACACTCAGAAATATTGCCAGTGTTCCTGTCTACATACGTGTCATGTTTCATTGTTGAATTTAGCAGTGGCTTTGAACCACTAGATAAGAGAAACTTACTGTGGTCCGTTTTGAGGTTTTAGCGGAGTAAACTTTTGTTGATTAAAGACATGTGGTCTAGCGTCTTGCCTTAAATTTGAAAAAAGAAAGCTCTGACTGCCTCGTTTTAATAAAAAAAGCTGTGCTTAATTTGTCTATATCTCTAGGTTTATATCAATAATCTGCAAAGATTTGATGACTATTCAGTTTGTACTTATTACCTTCCATGGACGAGTACATATAATTTCTTAACCCTGAGGGAAATTTTTTTTTTCATTGATGAAACAAAAAAGCATAAACAAAAAATAGAATTATGATTTATAACTATAATAATAGTTATTATTCTTAATTATAGCATTATATTGTTTCCGAACTGTTTGTTTCTTACGCGCTAGATAAACTCAGTCCAACCTTTCATGACAAGAGGCAGCCCTCGCACCACTGAACGTAGATCAAAACACCGTGGACCCGTTTTGTTTAGAGCGAAAGAAACCCGCAAAAAAAAGAAGTTGTGTTTCATGCTGTTGTAACATCAGTCATCCATTTCCAAAGTTTATTATCATTAATAGACCACGATGTTGGGTGCTATAAACAACAAACATGAAGGCATTATGACATGTTTTCTGGTTTAAAGTCGAAGGATCAAAGCTGTCTTCTTCTATGACACATAGCCTTTGAAACAACATTTTTTGGTTGTTGTTGTTGCTTGTATCTTAAATCTTTTATATACGTGTAGTAATTAATTACTCTTAACAGAATGGATTTTTACAAATTTAGAAGATACCTTAGGCATCCAGTTGGAAAGATGAATGTCTTTGGGCTAATTAAAATGCAATTTATCTTTGCAGCTCCTGGATAGTTATTATTTTACTCATAATTTGTGATTTATGGACCCGTAAAAGAGCCTTCACAACCTGTTGTTTGTAATTTTTTTATGAAAAACTTTCTTAAAATTAAAATGTCGTGCTGTATTCGTTATCTAGACAATAATAGCTGAGCGATAAGAGTGGTCTTCATAAATTCCCTTACCTAAAGCAAAGAGCGTTCATTTTAACATGTATCTTAAATAAATTTCTTGACAAAGTAATACAAATCATAATTTTTTTACTCCTGCTTAAAACAATACTCGTAGTGGTCTTTGCGAATGAGATATGGAAACAGATTCCTGGTTTCTATCTTTGTGAAGATAGGAAATGGTTGTATACAGTGCTTACCGTGTTTGTCTGACGGAAGTCCAATAAACAAATAATTTCAACAATTCATATGGCCATTCTCATGTACGCCGAACTCTTTCTTACTCTGTTACATCTTGTAAAACCGCCATGTCTTTTTTTTTTTTTTTTTTTTTTNTTTTTTTTTTTTTTTTTTTTTTTTGCCGCAAATCACCTCATGGTAGTATTTGCGTTTCTTTCATTTAATTCATTTTCATTTTGATGAATGTTCGATAATCTAGAGTTTGAAGGGACATGCTTAATTTGAAAGGCAAATCTAGGCAAACAAAAACTATAATTAAAAAGCATGTTTTTGCCAAGGCTTTTTCTGTAAATTCTGTCCCTTTTTCATTATGTGGTACAGTATCGTAAGTGACTCTTCACAAACACAAAGAATCAGATCGAAGAATCGAATTCAATAAACAGCCAATTCTGTAACCTCAGCTATTCCACAGATACACAAAGCTTCGCTAATATGTTTTAAACCCTTCGCTTTAAACTTTTAATTGTAAAACTTTTAATTGCCTTTGAAAACCGTTTTGGCTGTTAATCTGGTTTTTTTGTTGGCGTCACGTATCTAGCAGTACGGCGGCGAATAAATCCCACAAACTGAAATAACACGAACATATTATTTAATATCTTAGCGCTTGTGGCAAGTTATTATATAGCCTTTAGTTTACTTTATGACTAATAATGTTTATGAGACAAGAGACAATTCTCTTTTAAATATGAAATTGCAATTTGTACAAGTCATTTGATTTCCATTTCATTCATATTGATTTTCTCACCTGAGCATATTTGGATGAGTACGGCTGTTCTAAAAGTGCCCAGAAACGTTCCTTGGTTGTTTTCTCTATTCTTGTAGATTGATCAAGTCCCATTGCACTGTTATCGTTGTCAGAGTCCCCGTTGCCCTTTTGTAAACCCTCAAAGGCCTTGAGAGTTGCTTGCGCTTCCCTATGCTGGGTATAATTACTCCAGCAACAAGGCTCCATTTGCAGCTCTTCTATTCCCCAAAACGCTAATTCTTCTTCGAAAAGTGGGCCACAAACATCGCCTGGGCAATGAAGTTTACCCGTTCGATAGTAATTCAAGATATTAGCAAATACACCTGGATGTCTGTCGAAAAACAGTTCGTTGGTTTCTGGGTCGTATTCGGCCTGTTTCGACGTGTTTTCGCCAATCCAAGCTAGTCTGGAATCTGGAACGACTCTTAGTGTACTCAAATAAGTCTCGTGGCGATTTCCTCCAACGTTAATGATAACTCTGTCCTTTCTTGAGGTAGATTTGGATGCATTCGAATCAGATTTATCTAGCGTTATTCCTTCGAGCTTCATTATAGAAAATGTTTCTTCTTTAAGCCATCCTTACAATAACTTTGATGAGGCCCGTATCAGAAGCAATCACTGTTTAAAGCAGCGTTTGGCGCGCATGTTTCAATTCAGATTGGAGTAGTATTCATTTATGAACAGTTCTTGATTTATTCGTTCATGCCCGGCACCTGTTCCAGAAAACCCCAAGTCATTACGACGCTTATTTGCATACGGAGCTAAGAGTACATTCTTATTAATAATGGCTGTCTGCTACCGTACTAGCGTTTCATCCCTGGTACTTACATTTCTCGTTTAACGTTCTGCTAATTAATCCAGTCACTGTTTTTTGAAACCGAACTTTCACTTTTTGAGCAAATGTGTCCCCCTTGCTGGCTATCTAAGCTAGGAACTCAAAACAAAGTCTGTGTTGAGCGATAAAGAGTACTTTGAAGCGACAACCAATCCGATTTCGCCTTGATGAATGCAATTCGTGTAATGTTCTACGGCTATTGTGTTCGTGGTATTTGATGTGACGATTTAACTTATTACAGTGCAAGGCCTGCTATGATGTATCATTGATATGTTGGAACTACCGCAAATGGATTTGTTTTTATAGAATATGTAAATCCAACATTAAGAGATAGAGGTTTGAACTGCAATAGGTTATTTCAAATTAATTTTCTTTTACAGCTAGATTATATTGTCAACTTGATTCTTCTCGACGACTAAAATGAACCGAGGGGAAAAGCATTTCATTTCTGCACCTCTTTCTATAAAGATTAGGAAGCGAAAAACACGAAAAATTGCTATAATAAATCCAAGTGACTAATTGTATCTTCTTTTGAAATAGAAAATGATCAACTGCTGCCAAAATGATTGGTAATTTTTCAGAAGCGTGCAGGGAAAGCATATTTAGGAATAAGAAAACATGTTAGCCTTAAGCACGCCATGATTAAACCTTTCATTTAAAAGTATGAACGGCAATTTTACTTTCCCCCGCTCTATCTATCGAATATTAGAATATTTAAAACAGAAAACATCTAGACGATTAAAAATTCGAATATTCTTGGTCAACTGAACTGCGTTTTTATTGTCTACAAATATCTTACATTTTCAATGTTCATTTAAATATTTTATTGTTAACGGCTTTAAATTGACGATATTTATGGGTGAAAAAAAAGTGCTGTCAAGGGAGATTATGCTCTTTGAATGAGACAAGACAGAGTTCTTATCGTTTGTAATGAATAATTGAAGTACGGCAGGAATATCCTTGTGTTTTTGTGAGGTTATTTGTACTACCATGACAAAATCCTTCAAGTATTCATGCTATATCTCATGCGATAAACGTAGAAACATCTTAGTACTGATGTAATTCTGTCATTTACTCCAAGGGTCACCTTCGTGCCAGTGCTTGCGGCAAAAAAAGGCAAGTGCTTTGTATGTGTCCATTATATTGCGTCAGACAGAGATGATAAGTCATTTAGTGTGCAGGCCATCATAAATAAACCGTGTGTTAGTTGATCAATGAGAGTTCTGTATCTCGAGAGATCATCCTTGGGAACCATCAACATCAATGGAAAAAGAAATAAAAAACAACATGGTTTTCTGTGTCATGCCTAACTTTCAAAATATTTCATCAGTTAAAAGTCCAATATCCCGTGCCTAATATTAAAGAAATATAGATATATACAATATATATATAAAAGAATGTCACCAAGGTTTGATCACGACCCTCGGCTTACTATTTACATGAAGAGCTTCAGGACTTCACATGACAAGTCTATGCAAATAAATATCTATTCATGTTAACCCTGTAATGCAGCCATGACTGACAATCCACCGTTAGTCCATTACACTTGCATGAAAATAAGATGCATATTAGAGTCTTTTGAGTGAGTTTTACGTATATCATCATTACGTGACTGTCTTAACTGTATGTATTGTTGTTTTGTTGTATATGTTGATGTCTTAAATATACTTACAGAATAGGAAAAAGTCAACCATTACAAATTATGATAGAACGTTTTTATCTCCAGCTTTTTACACAATGTATACTTGACATTGTATTTAAACAAACCAAATCGACAAAAGCAGTCAAAAACTTTACAGAATTGAACGTGCGTGCTTGCGCAAACCAACTTGCATAAGCTAATATTTAAGTAGATTTAATCTTTCCGTTAATCGTTAAAGACATAAATTAGCAAAATTTAAATATTATTTGAAACCAAACGAAACGAAATTAAGAGCAAAGTGATTATTGCTAAATCTAAAAGGTCTGCTATATATATTTATCGATCTTTATCCGGTTATATTGCTAATACTACTAGAGTGGTTTTCATAAACCCATGAAGCAGATAACATAAGTAAGTGCTAGCGTGGAATAGTGAATTGACAACAAAAGAACACAATGGCATTACGGTCTACTAATTTGTATTAGGCTAGTGTGTATTTCACGGGTTTATGAAAACCACTCTACTACTACTCATGTACTACTACTACTACTACTACTACTACTACTACTACTACTACTACTGCTGCTGCTGCTGCTGCTGCTGCTGCTGCTGCTGCTGCTGCTGCTACTACTACTATTAGAGTGATTTTATTTAACCCGTAAAAGAAAAATGACAATTTAGTACTAGTTGATAAAACAAAAGAAAACAATGAGTTTAGTAGAGTCTACTAACTATGATGGGTACTATTTTTCCTCCTCCTCCCCCTCCACCTCCTCCTATTCCTCCTTGATTGGGCAGAATGCCGCCACACATCTGGGACTTTCGCTTAAGTGACATTCGAAATTCAAAATTCTTAATGATACTAACAAAGAAATGCAGTGAAGTATGCGTGCTGTTCGTCATATTTAGTAGGTCACGTACTATTCATTATATGTCAAAGTGTAAAAGGTGGGATTTTGAAGAATATATTATATTAATTATATTAGCCCAAAGTTTTTTTTCTCTCTTGTGCTTCGAGGGTTTTTCTCCGAGTTCTCCGGATTTCCTTCTTCCACTAAAATCAACTCCTATATTCCAATTTGATCGCTGGAACGAGGGCCACTGGTTTGCTAGGGCTACTGGCTATTAGGTGCTATTGTAGCATATTGACACAGGATGGAAGAGGTAAAACTCAACAGCTACACGCCATCTTGGTAACCACTTGGTAACCTCCCGTTATGCATATTAATATACTACAGACTAATGACACAACACCTATCCTCGTAAAATAATGAATAAAAATAATCCGAACGGTAAGCGCCCACCATAAATGCGGTTTTCAATGAGGTCCTCCGTAACTAAAAGAAATAATCTAACTTTCCATTAAATGCAACATACAGAATTAAATAAGCTAATTGTTAGAATGTTACTTTAAGAATCCCTACTCCCTCCCCCCTAAACAATATACACTAATCATAATTATTATAAGCTGAAATTCCTTATATTTCCTTATCCTTTAAAAAATTATGTAATAAATACTTATTCAAATTCCTCTTAAAAAATACTATGTTGCATTGGTTTTCTTTTATATTAATACCGATGGAAGAGATAACCAATCATTAGTACATTCGGTTATTCTCCTCTCCCCTCTAGGAATTTACTTTAAGCAGAGTTTTGGTAAATAACCATTTCTATAGTATCATAATCATGTCATCAATGCGAGTGTCAATTTAAAGTGATCAAAGCGTTTTGAGTTAATGGCCGACGCTGGGCGATCGTTTTCGTAGACCTCATTTGCATAAACCCAAGATGATTGACGGCTCGGTAAAGACCGAAATCCAATCAGGGTTTTGAAACGGCGGGTCGCGATGCAACGGTTTTCGCTGTAAACTTATTTTGCACTGCAACACAACCGTGACCAAAATGGCTACCAGCCAATGGAACCCTGTTGAAAGATTCAGAGCTTCCGTAGTTGACATTTTGCCCCTTTATTGAATTTTCTTGGCAAATCTGTTTCGAAAAGCTTGTAAGGGACTGTGCAATAATCATCGGGAGGGGGGGGTTCTAATATTCTCCAAATTGGGCTTAAATTGAAGCTAAACCCCCCCCCCCC